TTATAAGCACTGCAATTTCATAATCAGCCAACTTCCGAGCGTCATCCTTCCTACTATCTTGCCTTCTTACGAACAGACATATAAGAATTATTCTCACGTATTTATAGTTGTACAGAGAGGAACACGTTTTAAAGATTTATGGTTGATTAAAGAGAAGTCTATTAAGTTCAACGTAAATATGATTGATCCTTGATTAACAAGATTAATTATTTCAATGTTATTCGAGATTTAGGATTTATGCAATTTTCGAAGCATTGAGTTATAAATTAATTATGCAATTCTAAATCGGATCTGTGTAAAATAAAACATTGTTTTTAAATAGACCAGTTGAATATAAAATATATTTTAATTATTCGGAAGTCATTTTTAATTCTCGAAAAGAATTCATATCTTTGTTATCTTCGTGAATCGTCAAGGTGCGTATTGCAATTGTGAAATCAAAAGACAAAACACAAAGAGAAATTTATGCGTTGCAGAATGATATAATATTAAATCACAATGTGTCGAGACTGTGACAAGAAGAGACGTTCTCCTGGCGTTTATGTTGCCTCGCGATCTAATTCACCAAGGCAATTACTCGCACGCTCGTAATCACTCGATTGTTCGGCTTTTGTTCGTTTTAAGGGTTCAAGCATTGTCAACGTGCACGCGTCGTATCGTTTAATCTTACATAAGAAATATAAATCGTGCGACAGTATCATTTTGTGGATCTACGGTGAGACAGTGAATTAAATATTCCGACAGTTTTTGAAATTGAATAACTTTCTTTAGACTATTTCTCAGATCTTGTAGAAAATGTTTTGAATATTCTGTAAATTCGTGTGTTCTATGTATAGATGTGAATGATTAAACATAAATGATTTTTTGTTGTTGCAAAGATAAGAAACGTCTAATAAGTTATTTTTAAATCTGTAATTAAAAAAAAAAAAAGAAAAGAAAGAAAAAAAGAATATGTGTATTTTGTAGATCCGTATATATGCATTATGGTTTTGAGAATTTATACGATATATGCCATTATATTACCATCATATCATTCTGTTAATTATAATATTAAGAAATGAAAGTTCTTCTAATTCCAAGATGAATAAAATAAAATATATATATATATTTCATCATTTTATCGATTATTTGAATAAATGTAATGTGTACTGAAAATGAACAAATTTGATAATATTTTTGTTAAATTTCAGATATATTTTTTTTGTTCTATTTTTAAAAAAGTTAATCAATATCAACAAATATTTTGAATATTTTTGTGATTCATTTGACGCATATATATATGTGTGTACGAACGATACATTGAATTACGCAAGCGATAACACTGACGGTAACAATTAGTACGAATCTCAGGAAACGTTGCTCTGTCTTGTAATAATGGCTTGTAATAATTAATAAGGCTTACATAAAAAGTATCTCTCTTTGATAATAATTATATTTTTTTTGTTTCTCTCTGCGTATACGAGAAACTATGAAGAAATGACACATCTTGGAGAACTTTCTTTCTTTATACGAAGACAATTATGAGTATATAAATGAGTATATAAAGCGTGTAAGTCAACGAGAGCCAAGAATTCATCTTTTCTTATTTAGCATCGATAGATCTAATGCTGTAGATCTAACGAAGAAAAAACTATGAATTTTATCATTTTTAAATGTATTTATAAGAGATTTGATCTTTTTTTCTAATAGAAAATGTATATTTTATACGCATTTTTGGAAAGTAATTATTGTAAACATTAAATAATATTAAGAAATAATGTACGTGCGCATACAAATATAAATGGATTTTTTAAAGTTACGCGAATATAATAAACACGTAAATATTTTTATAAAAAAGAAAAAAAAAAAAGAGAAACAAAGAGGATGGTATCGGGAAAATTTTAGTCAGCATGAAAGAAGAAAGTTAAAAACCCGACAGAAATTTCATTTAAATTATATAAAAGGATTTAACATCGTATTGGAATTCTTATTGGAGAATTTCATCGGTACGCGTCGTATTTGATACTGCAAATACGAATACCGATGTGTTTGCTCTCAAGCGTACCCGTGTACAAAAAAAAAAAATTTACTATGTATCGATACACAGAGGCGGTAACGAAATAGGTAACGGAGAGTCGTGTAGTTCGGTTTTATCAGTCCGAGCGAGTCGAACGGTGTGCCAGCTCGGTCTGCCCCACATTTTCAGTCACTCGCACGCGACAGCGCATACCGCAGGTGTGAGCAGATCGTTCGCGAATCCTAGATTCGCTTTTCGATCTTTGAGATCTCTTCCGTTGATCTTGATCGTTCTTCCTTTTCGATAAATAAGAGGTGAAAACATGGACCATTCGACGTTACCTTGAAGTAAATACATATTTATTGGTGGGTGTAATTAGTATCAATAAAATAATTGAATTTTTTACTTATTTCTCGATTAAAATGCGATAACGTAATAACATCTCTGATAAAGTCCTTGATAACGGTAGTTTGAGATAATATTAATCAGTATCTAACAGAAACGCACAATATAAATACATATACATTGTACATATCTAATGTAAGATGTGTTGTTTAGAAAGCGAAGACTCAACAAGTTAGATGACTAACCTTGAACTTTCGTATGTTCGTTTCCTCGAAAAAGATCTTTTTTGTCGTCGTGCCGTCGCATGTCACGAAGCGTGACGTCCTTGTGGACATCGCGACTCTGGTTAGTCATGGTATCTTAAATCTTCATGTTCGTCGATCGTCACCAAACCTATTCTAGATGTTAACTTTAACAAAAGTACTTTTCTCTTTTTCTACGTTCTTCATTCATCTTGTGAAAGCAACGTCGTTTTCGGGGGCACCAATTCTTACATTTTCTACGTATGTATGTGTATGTGTTCGTATCTGTGTTATAAGTGCGACTGGTTTTCTGCACGTACCTTTCTCTACGAGAATTTATTTCTAATTAGAAATTTAGAAAATATTGGTACGTTTTATCTTCTTTTTTCTTTTTTTTTTTTTTTTTATTGTTGATCATCGAATATCATATATCACGAATAACGTAATAATATCGAACTCGAACAGTGCAATTCGATCTTTTTCAACTTCATCAAACAATATTAAAGATTTGTCGAGATTTCATCGTTAGTCACACTTAGTTATCTTTGTATGTTTATCTGAGATAAACTTTGATATCATTCTCGCGATCCAAAGGCCGAAGCAAGAGTTATCTACGCACGTATCGTATACGTTTGAAACGTTGAATTTAAATTATATATAAATTTATATCTTCGTGAATGAGTAGACTTTGTTAACATTAAATTCCGTTGTTGAATTGAACAACGATCTTATCTTTTATTTATCTTTCTTTTTTTATTTTTTTTTTTATTTTTTTTCTCTTTTAAACTATAACGTCATTTCCTTTATTAATCCGAATTCGTAAGGGATTCACCAGTGTTAAAATATTTTTTTTCGAACGGATGTGACACGCATCGTTGGAGATCGAGCGTGACACAATCTAACGACTTCCGGTCTGACATTCACGAGCATTTCCGGTCTCGTTACTACCCTTCCGTGGGCTCCAAATGAAAAGGGAAATCATTTGCCTTCGTGATGTCTGGTATAAATCAGACCTCTGACAATGGCGATACCAACGTTGCACGCTTCGTGAATTCTCGCGTTTTCCTGTCCATGCTGTATCAAATTTTACACCAAAACGTATCGACCCTTACGTCGGTTTTAATCCGTTAAAATTATTTTTACTTTGATCGAGACAATTCTTACCTGTTATCAGTTACTTAAAGATATTTAATTCGATTTAACGATTACACGATTACAAAATATTTCTCTATCGATCATTCTTAACAATTACGACGATCATAATTTTCAATTATATACAAATTTTCAAATATTTACAAATCTTTTAAATTTGAATATTTTTTAAAAATATAAATAACAATTAAAATGATTTATGAATTAGTCGAACTAAATTTTTTAAAATCATGTCTGTGAAAAATGAATAATTGATGATTGATAATATTGATTACGAGTTTAGACAAATTCGTTTATTGTGACTTTAGTTTTTAATCGATCAATCATATGGAATTAACGTTGTCTATCATTATACCTACTTACAACGAGATTTATCCGCGTCATTTGCATAGGGATTTCTCTCTATTAGATTTTATAACATGACTGACTGAAAATATTCTCCTATGGTATAAAATGAATACTTTGTTATATTGATATTTTCTTATGGAGTACGATATCTTCGTTGAAACGTAACGGAAGTTCCTAACGGAAAACCATAATAACGAGTAGCCACTGTCTATTGCTCCGTTTTATACTTACTATCACCGTTACGCTTCATTTTGTCTTTTTTCTCTCTCTCTCTTTTTCTTTTTCGTCTTCTTACTCAGCCTTAATTATCTAAAAAAATAAGCGATAAGTTCGATCATAGAATAACATTGAATCGAACGATAACATTTCGATAACATTCCGAGTAAAAATGTAATAATAAAATATTTCAGATGTTATGAACATGTTTTCGTGATTAGAAATGTGAATTGTGATTCGTTGGATTCATTTCTAATCGTTGTAATCGCGTTGTAATCTCGTACGTCTGTAATCCAGATGTACGAGATAGCCATTCGATTCGAGAATATTCTTATTATGACACCCGATATGTTGCAATGCACGTTCGCACTTCATCTATTGTACGCGGGTGTAACTAGCTGACAAGTGCATTTGTGCGACTTATAGTATGTACGAAAAGAAAATTTACGTTCCTTTCAAGAAAATTTAAATACAATTTTCAATCATTAGAGAGATAATAAATAAATAAATAAATAAATAAATGTATATATATATATATATATATCAAATGAAATGAAAAAATAAACATTAATTTAATTAATTTAACATTAATTACAAATTTAATGTTAAAAATTATACGTATTATAAATAAGCCTGCAAGTATACGTTATTTAATAATTTAAGGTTTTTTTATCGATATAATTCGAATTAAATACAGTATTGAATGAGTATATAGGGTGTTTCAAAATCTTTAATGTTACAATGTTCAAAATCTCAAGTATTACAAATTTTTAGGACTTGTAGAGGGGACCAAGTAAATAAGTTAGAGATAAAATTTTGATTAGGAACCCATGTTCGGAAATGTGTAGGTAAAACAAAATCTAAACGGCATTGCGTCTGGGCTACGTCTGGTTGACGTCTGGGTTATGTGTTGAACGGCAAGTGTAAAATGTGATGATGTACCATCGTGTTAAAACCACATTTCTTGATAAATGTTCAATGGGACATCTTCCAAGAACTCTGGCAATACTTCTTACAAGAAGTATTATACTCTTTTAGAGCCAGAGAAAAATATAATTGCATGAATTCTGGCCGCGATACAACAGACTCAACACAAACCAGGTATTTTTGAGCGATTCTGTCAAAACATAGTTACCAGATACAATGTTTGAAATAAAATTGATGGATCGAGCAGCTCTTGTAATGGATGAGGACTCAATCATGATTTGATTTTGTTATACTTGTACATTTTAATTTTGTTTTATCGTACTTTTATTAGATTCCTAATCAAAATTTTATCTACTCAGTTTTGTCTACAAGTTCTAGAAGTTTGTAATAAGAATTTCAAAACACCTTGTGTATATATATATATATTTATTAGATATAATAATTATATATATTTTATTATATATATAAAATGTATATAACATATATAATACATATATGTATAATACATTATGTATAAGTATTTCTATCATTTTACAATAAAATATTATATTTTTTTAATAATGATTAATTTTCTAATATTTTGAAATGTTCATATTTGAATTATTTCTGTTTATGTCGTATTTATAATCAATATGATTAAAATTTGTTATTATTGCTGCAATTTTTCATACGTATGTATCTGTAACAAAATGTTTATACAAAATTCATAAACTTAAACTCATAGAAGTATGTTATTGCTGACTCTACGTCATTCTAGTCTCAGGTGTTACATTTCAGTTTTTTTTTAGTTACGAACTAAATTTGCTTCAACTGTATTTCGATGCACTGTAACCAAATACAATGCACCACGACATATACAAGTGTGGTCATTTAACGTATTCAGATGTAACCCCAACGTAACCGACGGAATACGTTAATGAATTCTTCCTCACCTGACGATCGGTCACCTGACTCACTTCCGGTAAACTTGAAAGAGTGCACACGTTCCCTCTTCGTAGCAGTTTCCGCTTATCGAACCTCGAATATCCGCCTATCCTTTTTCATTGTCTCATTTATTTAAAAATTATTATTAAAATTATTAATACATTGATGTTTAATTTTAATATTATCGAAATAATTCGAAGAAATTGTTATTGTTATTTTATCTTAACTTATTGATAATTGATAAAATACTTAAAAAGTTATCATTATTTTCGGCAAGAAGGATAAAGAAATTTGTCAAACAAAATTGTGTCGTCGATTTTATTTGTAATGTTTCCGAATAATGTGTTTCTTAGTTTGAGCAATCAATATTTTTGTTTTTTTCTTTCAAACAACACGTAATAGATAGCGCAAATGAACTTGTAATCGGATCGATTCGATACCATTTACGATGTTCATACATACTTAAAAGGAAATGCAACGATCGTCGAGGCAATCGAGAATGACGAAGGCGCAAGCTGCAACACGTGCCGCTCGACAGCTGTTTTCCGGTGTAATTCTGAAACACGTTTTGTCTTCTTTTTCTCTTTTTTTTTGTTTTTATTTTCATGCTTGGATACACTCGGGAGATGATAGTAATAATGATCGACGATGTAGGGTGAATCTTACTTTTTTCTCTCATCTTTTATGTTTACAAACTTTTCGATTAGAAAGTCCTTAGGACAGATGTGTTTTGCTTTTTTTTTTTTTTAACTTGATTAGCCGATAAAAGTAATAAATTATCGAAAAGAAAGTTACACATATAAAATTGATTATATTAATTTTCAAATTAAATCGAATAAAATTGTAGATTGTTGAAATTCTATGTACGAACTTGTTGAAGATCGTTCATTTTTATCTATTATAATTATCGAATATTAAGAATATATAAATATGGACCCAGTGCATTTGAAAACTATTCGTATGCTTTTGAAAATATAATAATATTTATTTTAAAACTTTTTATGCTAACACTGTTCTTTTTTCGCAAACGTGTAGTGTCTTTCAAGTTTAAATTTCTCTAAAAAAAAAAAAAAAAAAAAAAAAAAAAATTAACATAATTTAATAATAATAATAATTATGTATATATATATATATATATATATATACATCATTATATATATATAATGATTATTGTATATCTTATACAAAATACACAAAAGTAAAAATATGTGTTGTAAAATGTACAAATATATGGAGTATATCCATCTTTCTTCTTAGCAAATCGTTTTCTATATCTTTTATGAGGAAATTTATTATTGTCATCGATTAGAACAACAAATCTTTCTGATAAAAACTTTCTTATACAAAATTTTATGTATGTACTTATATATATATTTCTGCTAAATCTTACATAAAATGTCTATCGTGTTTTTGTTTATACTGTTATTATATTATTACTATAAGTATTCGGAAAATAGTTAAATCTATATATACTTCCATACATGCATATATATATATATATATATATATATATATATATACATGCATCATGCATATATAATATGTATAATATTATGGCTGTACTAAAAAAACATTATACTTATATGTTGTTCAACGAAATAAAACATTATAATACTTTGTCGATTGATCTCAGATCATTAATAAATATTAATATTAATACGATCATTTACAATGTTCAATGTTTCAATGACGTATATTCGTTGAACATATTTATGATTATCGTATAAAAATATTTAAAGAGATGATGAAAAAACTTTGGAATTAAATGTATTTAAAATATTTCAGAGAGAAAGTTTGAATGAGAAAGTGTCAGAATGGAAGACGAAGATTTCGGATTTACGAAAAGGGACAGCAGAGCCCTAGTGAAGGTCCTAACCGTTGAGAAAGAGGAAGGGCATACACAACAGGAGAGAGGACCGTCCTCAGCGCCGACGAGGGCTGCGGCTGCCAGTGGAAGCGGTGGCGGCAGCGATCGTGGCCGTTCCAAGACCGCCCCCTCGTCAGTTCCAAACAACGCGCCGAACATACCGAACGTCGTCGAGTATCATCTCAAAGTAAAGCCACCTTCTAAGATTAACAAACTCGAGGAACAATCTGTGAGTAAATTTCACACGAAAATTATCACGAAATTTAAACTATTAATGATAGAGAAAATTTTCTAATTGTTTAAAATTCTTAAAACGCATATAATGATCGTATTAAGATGTATTATATATGATGAATTAAATTTATTTTAACATTTTTTTCTATTCTTCCAAACATCCTAACGAATGAACGATGAAAATAATAACATCAATCGATCTGATTCTAATCAAATTAGAACGAGTTTCGATCTCGAGCGATACAAGTATCATTCGTTAAGATCTCTATAAATTTATTTTCATTTCATATTTACATATACTCGTTAGTAAAAACTCGGTCAGTCGTACCAACGTACTTACTTGGAGACTAATCCACACGCATGGTTTGTTTATCGTCGATTGGTAACGCATTCTTTGTTATTACGTCAACTAATTTCGCTTTTTATGAGATATTTTTATACTTCCTTATAAACGTCAGTGAACTTTGATTACCGTTATTACCGTTTATTGCCTATTGTGTCGCTTGCACATTTATCATCTTTTTATTTTTTCATCTCTTCTTTTCATTCACAAACGTATATATATATATACACCCACGCATGTTTACTCATACTCATAAATATTATTATGTTACTGTGCATACAATGAATCAATATTTTTACGTTTTATTTGATTATTACGTTCTTATAATTTCGAAGTAAATGATCGTTCATAAAACTATAAATTTTATTCGTAAAAACGTAACTTTTATTTAGATTTGTAATAATCGACTGGTGCCATTTTTCGTTCCGCCATTTAAAATATCATATTCTTGAAAAAAAAGTAAAAAAAGTAAAAGAGAATTAGAATGGTCTATTAGCTGACGGCTAAAGGATTCGTTACGAGATCTTCAAAGGATTTCTCACACAATATCATTAAAAATGAAATTCTTTTTTTCTAGATAAACATTCTGATAATATATTGTATATATATATATATATATATATATATATATATATATAATTTATTAAATTATATATATGTACAATATATATATTAAATTCTAATAATATACTGTATATATATATATATATATATATATATATATTTACTTATATATATATTATACTTATATATATATAATATATATATAATATATATATTTATATATTAGGTGGACCGGAAAGTAATGTCACTTTCTTAAATTAAATTCGAACGAATAAATTTTTAACAAGTTTTTATTATTAATCACAATTAAATATCGATATGCGCAGAAACGACATTACTTTCCGGTCCACCTAATACATAGACTTATATATATATACTATACTTATATATATAATATATATATATATATATACTTATATATATATATATATATATATATATATATATACTTATATATATATACATATATATACTTATATATATATATATATATATATATACTTATATATATATATACATATATATACTTATATATATATACTATACTTATATATATATAATATATATATACATATATACTTTTTAATTCATGATACGTGACCCAAATTTATTTTTTATAGAGAACCAATCGTACAGAAGAAATGAAGAAGGATTTACTGTCTGCGACGGAAAATAAGAAAGACTGGATAACAAAATTATCTCGTCTGTCGATCGACAACAATGTGTTCGAGGGGTCGACTGATCTGCCACAGGTGTTTCAGGTACGTTTCAGGACGAAGTCTTCAGAGCGTTAGTTTGAAAATACCTGCAGGTACATGTCAGGTACACAATTTCCTGGATAGGTACCTGTTCTGTCGAGACTTCTATGTCGATCTTTCTTTCATATATGTACATATATTTTATGCTGGTTCGTAAACTTGCTTGTGTATTACCTATTCTGGTAAATAAGTGTCAACTAGCGTCGTTATTCTAGTCTCATTAAAGTAAAAACAAGATCGATCTACCTGTATGGTGTCGATACTGTACGTATGTGTTTACGAACTTGGATTTAAAAGATTTTTATTGGTTGAGATAAATCACGTGACAGTACTCTCAGCCAATCTAAAAAAGAAGATAACATATTATAATGTTATCTGCACGTGTACATTGAGACAAATATTCTTTACCTTTCTCTATTTCTTTTTTTCTCTTTGTTGACCAATTATATAATATTTTGAACGAAGGAATAGTAACTTTGTAAAACAAACGAGACTGAGTCGGATATTTACAGGTAAAATACTTGGGATCTCACGATGCAAGGGGCCTCTGGGGTATAAAGCACACGAGACAACCGGTCGATAATATGGTAACCTCGGCTAAAGCATTACCGACCAATACGATGCTACCTCTGATCAAGTTAGTGGTATCCCAAGAAGGCGTAGCACTTCTACCGCTTGACAAAAGGAAGCAGGAAGGCAACACAGCTAGAATGTACGCGATCGAAACTATTTCCTATGGCGTCCAGGATCTTGTTTATACCAGGGTATTCTCAATGATCGTCGTTCGTGAAACAGATAACTTCCGTAGGGTATCACCCTTTGAGTGTCACGGTTTCGTTTGCGAATCGAAACATCATGCCAGACAACTCACTTACGCACTTGCCACTGCATTTGAAATTTACTCGAGAAAAGTTAAGATCCAGGACAAGGTTAATTCCGAAAATGTTATCAGTAATACTAAGACAAGATTTGCCATCGATCTTAGAAGTCCTGAAGAAATCGAAGCCGATCTTTGTATGGATTCTGAAGCGTGAAAATTTTACATATCTTCTTTCAGAGATATCACGGTTGTTCGTTAATTTCAAACATTTTTCGTCGATAAATGTCGACGAAGGTCTCTCCTTTTATTTTCTTCATGTTACCTTCAAACATAAGAGTATATATCTCTAGTAGTTATACTGTTTAACGATAACGAGTTGCAAATAAGTGATATGAAAGATTTATATGTTAATATTGAGAGATTTTCGCCAAGAGCGTTGGATTTTGTAGGAAACAGGACGATACAGGGTTACGATTATATATAATTCTTTATCTACGTAGTTAAATGGAAAATATTTGTTTAGTGTAATATAGTGTATATATATACTATAATAATATATATATATATATTATATATAATATATATATAATATGTATATAATATATATTATATATATATAATATATATATATACATATATATATATTATACGTAATATATATATACATATATATATATATATATATATTATACGTAATATATATATACATATATATATATATATATATATATATATATATATATATATACATGTCTGTATATATTTTACTTGATTAAAAAAGGAACAGTATAAATATATATCAAGATCAACCTTGAATGACTTTTAACATTATTAGTATATTAAGTATAATATATTACATTTTATACTAATTAATTAGTATGTAGCATATACATATACGGGTTTCGTTTAAATTTAATCTAAGAAATAATTGTAACGTATTATACGTTTTGTACATACATACATACACACACACAAACACACATACACATACACATGCACACATATATATATATATATATAGTGTTTATTTCCCGTTCAGTTTGAAGATCTAACATGAGTGTAACCTTGAATGGAATTGTTCCAGTGCCTTGTTAATATTGTAATGATTTTCTGAATGAAAGGAAAAGGAATATTTAATTATTTTGTTTGTAAACACAAAAGTACAGATTATTATGTGTTTAATATCTTTTATCGGCTTTACAAAGAAAGGTTGGGCATTGCCTATCCATAACATGATGGCTAGCTATTCCAAAGATACCGAATAGAAGAGAAACAAATGGTCATCGGTGGTCACCTATGACTTGCCGAAGCGACTTTCAGGTATTTTACGACAAGCGTATAATAACGATCGCGTCTCAAAAAAAGAAAAAAAAAATAAAAGAAAAAAAGAAGAAAGTATTTGGATTTATTTCTAGCCGCTTTGTGTGTGAGAGTGCTTCTTTTCATCGTATTATAAGTTTCTTCTTCTTCAAATAGTAATTTTTTTAATCGAGTCTTATCCAAAGCTTCGATTCTACTTTGATTTTATACTTTAGTCATACTTCAGCGAGAAATATAAATATTTTGTAATATACGATGTAATATTACACTACAAACTTACGTTATTTCTTTTTTTGTTTACGTAAGAAATATGGAGTTCTCATTCTCCAAGTTCGATTTTACATTGTCTTGCCGATACTATTTTCTAATCATTTATCGTGCGTTTCTTAGACATAATTTTATTTATAATTTAGTTGTTTAAGTTTAAAAACCAATATCGATACATATCAATGATCATATTATTGAATGTTAAAAGTAATGCCGTATTTAATATTACGATAATGATATAAATTATTTCGATTTAGTTCTTTTTTTCTTCCTTTTTTTCTTTTTCTTTTTCGTTATATTTCCAATTTATTTTACACTAGACGAATTAGTTAATTTCGTAGTAATATATGTATATATATATATATATATATATATATATATATATATATATATATATACATACATATTATTTTCTGTTTATCCGCATTAATTCTATTGTATTTAATTAACGTTAAATAATGATAAAACACATTGAAGTGTTAAAACGTTTTGAGATTTTAGTCTTTTATTTTCCGATATATAATACAATTAATAATATTTTTAGGAGTTAATAAGACACCGTCTATACTTAATAACATATATTCGTAATATTATAATGCAAATTTTTACAAACGAATTAAAATTAAGACGAATGATTCAAAATAATTTAAAACTTTTTCCCTTTTTTTTTACATGATTACTACTAAAACTAAAGAGCAAAAGCAAAATCTAGGATATCTTAAATTATTATATTACTTACATTATACATAGTTCTTTCTTTTTTTTTATGTTTTTTTTTTTAATATATTAGAGCGATATACGTATTGAAGGCAAGCGTATGTAGCATACAAAAGTTGCTGTTCTTATTTCGTCGTTTCTTGTTCAACGTAGGAATAGAGAAGTTAGTTTATCGACGTAATTAAAAATGTCGTCAATGACGTTGTGACGATCCTTGTCGATTTAAAATTCTCGAAGTCCTCGTGAACGGTTTGGTTATCTCTGGCTCGACATCAGCATTTATTGGAACAGATCTGGTAGTCTCTTCTTCGGTATTTTCTTCCTCCTTACCGATCTCCTCGTTCAAGCTGTAATATTTTTCTGATTCCTCGCAGGGTATCGATTCTTCCGTTCGCGTACATACGAAAGTGGCCTTATAAGGAGATAAATCAAAAAAAAAAAACAAAGAAGAAAATAAAAAAACAATAATAACGAAATAACTTAATAAGAATAATGTAAATATAAGTACCTGATTGAAAACCGTTTCTGAGGGACAAATGAAACTCCATTTGGCGACATTTCTCGTTTGTGGTAGACAAACGTGAAATATTTGACACTCATTTTCCATATCGGCGTAATATCCATAAATTCTGTCTTTACAGGAAAATGTGTCCACGATGTTATCTCTTATGAGTGTAGCATTATCCGGTAATTGTAATCCACCTAATTGATTTTGCTATATGGAAGAAGAGAAATAACATGTTAAAATAACATGTCGATATATCATTTATTGATAATATCGAAATATTCTTTACTAACTTTAAACACGGGTGTTGGTCTTTTGGATTTTGGTTGTTGAGGAAGCGCGTTTATTACTAATACGAAAGCACAAAGAATAAATACGAATTGATTCATCTTGTTTGTTAAGTTTTAAAATATAAGAAAAGGAATAGCTTGCGCGTATTCGATTCCAATTTATTGATTTAACTTATTTGATGGTATTTCTTTTGAGATTTTTGGAAGTTTTACCAGCTTCTTTCTTCGGAGGTCCTGAAGTGACTGGAGATCCGAATCGTAGAAGGGTGTTATATAGCGAAGCGAGGATAGGGATCTTGAATATTGTATGAATGGCCAATTCTCAGTACGTCCGAATTAGTAAATTCTTCACGTTTGGTCTGCCAATGACCAATGACCATCCAGACGTTCACATCATCCTCGAAGGCCCGATGCAAATGGTCCGAACGTTCGATGATGCGGTGTCTTACGTTCGACGGTAAATAATTCGTCTACTTAAAATTAATATTTATTGTTGGTCGTACGATAATCAAAGGAGTAAAACGATTTAGTCGTTCGTGATTACCGAATATGTCGTCGAGAAATTCCTTAATGGATCGTTGACACATTTGTTTCTAAACTGTCTAATCCGTTTAGAGACTCTACGCATATTCTATCAGAGCATTTTCATTTTTATTCATAGAGAGTACGACCTTGACAGGAGCGAGTCGACTCCTTGCATTTAAGGATTATATTTCGATCTTTCGGGCACGATTTTTCAAAGCCACCAACGGAGATTCATCGATTACGAAATCGGAAACGACGTGAACGTAAGAAAGTACTGATTGCGATTGATTGAGTGAGAACAAATTGTACTCGTTTTTTTCTTCCCTTAATATTTATTTTTTATCCTGTTTTATTCGAAAAATATGTGTATATTCATTCACATACACACACACACACACAAATATATATATTTATATACTTATTTTTTTGTCTATGATATCAAAAAATTTTCAACTACTATCAGCTGCGCTTGGAAAAGTACTAAGTATTCATGAAATTTATTATTATTAAATCTGTTTAAGTCGATTATAGTTTAGTAACGATCCTGGTTCGTCCACGAGTTTAATATTTTCCTACACGTAAAATTATTCACGATTTTTTAACAATATACGATACGACATAGTGATCCCATTCCACAATTTGGCTCCTTTCCAAACGTGAGAAGATAAAGACGTAAGACGAATTCGGCCGTCGAAATTCGAGGGCAAATCCGCCAGGCCTCATCTTCGTTAAGGCCGCATCACGGCCACCATTTCTTCGGGATGTGAATACTTAACAATTCTTTTGGGTCCTCGCAATTGTGAAACCGTACCCACTTCTTTTCCTCTTTTTGTGGTCATCGACCATGAGAACGACGAAAAATATTTGATGTGACGAATTCTATGAACATACATAGATAGATTTTCTTTCTTTCTTTTTTTTTCATTTTTTTAAATTCGACAATGTACAGCGCTATTCTTTTGTAATTGAATTTCAAAAATAATAAGTTATTATTTGTACATCAATTAGTTATTACAAATATACTTATCAAATTAACATACTTTTCTACATTTGTCGAAACATTAACATGTATTTGTATAAAGAATATTTCGGCTTGTCGACTTAAGATAAATCGTCTGCATTCTAACGATATTGACAAAAATGCTAATTAATCGATTGACTCATAGACTCATTAGGATATAAATTTTTAATCCTTAATTAAAATAATAATGATTATAACGTCAATAATGATTATTACTCTTTGTTGCTTTTTTTTCTTTTCCTTTTTTTCTTCTTTTCTCTTTTTTCTTCTTTTTTCTTGTTCTGTTAATAGCGATCGTTTAATAAAATTTATTCTCTTGTTCAGAAAGGGATGATTATCCTCCAAGTAACGAAACTAAAGGTGCGTCGAGAACAGCCTAATCTTTTACTTTGATCGCACGTGCGAGAAGGTGAACAGCCTGATTATATCGTTGGTGTTTAACGATTCCAAATGCATTTTACTTTGGCCACCGAAGAAAAATACAAAGAGAATTTAGAGATACACGATTACGGCGCTCACTAACCATGTTGTGAGTACAAGTAACTTATATTCTTCTTCATTTCTGTCGATAAAACAGAGTAAATATTTTTTCTTTTTCTTTTTTTTTTTTTTTTTTTTTTTGTTAAGGAAAATAAAATAAAAACTTTGTAAACAATAATTAAATATTTATTATAAATAACTTTTTTAGTAGTTTAAAGGTTGTCGAAACGAATTGCATTCGTTTCTTTTGTAATATGATAACAAATATATAATAATATGATCAAATATACGTATATCTAGGAAGATATATTATTGTTAATTGAAATAAAAAACAAAAAAGTAAAGATGTAAAAGATGTATGTATTTAAGTGATAAAAAGTGAAAATATGACGGCATTAGGGCAGGTACGCATGAGTAACTTTGGTACGACTGAAGATTCATGTGATAACGAAAAGGGGGAAATGAAAGAGAGAGAGATTGAGAAAAAGTAGAGAATGAAATCGATTGGAACGATATACTGTTAATAAGTTAAATAAATAAATAGTTTTAATATAAATACATATGGAATATACGATTTACCTAGATTTCATTGAACTTGATTTATCAAATTGTCCAACGAACTTGCGAGAAAAAAAATAAAGAGAGAGAAAGAGAGAAAGAATGAAAGAGAGAGAGAGAGAGAGAGAGAGAGAAAGCTAATAAAATCACGAAATCGTAAGAGATTTCAATGATCTTTGTCATTTATAGCATTATCTATTGAAAATGAAGGAAAAAAGATCTTATAGAAGGACTATTGCAAAATCAATATAAACAAAAGCATTATTGATTCCTTCTTTTTCGAGTTTGCCTCGTTTATCATTCTTTCTTCGTCATTATCGTTGATAAATCACTCCTGAGGAACGTACGAGCTATAAACGATATCCTGAGGCGAATCGTTTGACGATCTTCCCCAATAACCACCATGATGATCGTCTTCATGGTCGTAATGGTGTTGGTGTTGAGCGTGCTCGTAATAGATCACTTTAGATGGCTGATGATTCTTTTTAAGATCAATCCAGAATTTAGTTGCGTTCATGATGAAGCTTATAACCGCGATTATGAAGAGCTTTATTTGCAAATGCGTCGAAATAATTTGAAGGAGTAACGCGAGCTTGGCCTTGAACATCATCACTAAGGCCATCAGCTTTTGCATATGCTTCTTCTTCTTCTTTCCATGTTTCTTTCTACGTGCTTCTTCTGAAAAAGCGACATATAATGATCGTTTTTAATCTTATCGATGTCGTTGCCGATGAATCAATTTAAATTTATATTTATATACATATATAAATATAATATTATAAATTTAATTATAAAATATAAATTTATATTATATATAAATATTTTTCTCATTTCACAGATAACCAAGATCCGTAAAACTGATAAATTATTTGCTTTTTTGAGCATCGATATTAGCACATCGATGTCAGTATCCTCATTATTAATTTATATCGGAAAGCGACACGATGTTTTATCGAACGCACGATCGAAGCTATAAAATAATTTAAAAATCCTTTTGATGTGTTGAGAATGAATGCATATAAAACGATCAAGTTTGTTCTTTAAAGTACTACTTAGTTTTTTTTCTGTACCATCCATATTTTATTTTCGTTTCCATGTAATTATCGTTAATTAATTCACTGTTACCTTCGTCATGAAATAGAATAGATTTAATACTTTTCGCAATCGTAGAATTTTCGAAATCTTATTAAATTTAACGTTAAATCGTCGTTTGGATCGTCAATTAAGTTAATTAAAGGAATAGGACGAATGAGATAAAATATAATTAATATATGTTTAAAGAATTATTGAACTATGTAGAAGATTTATATATTTTTTGTCGAATAATAAGATTTAAGAACGGATAAAATGGATAATAAGATAAGCGAAGGATACAAACGTAATGTGATGACTATTCTCCTCGACCGCGATTTAACTATAATAAAAACTGTACGTTAAGTTGCACGGGAAAAGGGCTTGAGTAAACTGACCTCAAAACCTTCACCTGGGCCACGTTTAATTCATCTTACGAATCACGTACATTTTCATCACGATTATCATTCATGTATTCTCTGAAGACTATATTTCTGAAAATGAATTTGTTCAATATCGTACAAACCACGTTAATCTATTAACGAATGATAATCTATTCACGATTTTTCTATTTTAGTGATTAGAATTTTTACGTTAATTCAACTTCTCTCTCATTTGCATTGATACGGAAAATCTTTCATGAAGTTTCACGTTACATTATCTCTCATAATTAATTATTAAAAATGATTTCTCTTGTTTTTTATATTTTTAACCTATGACATACTTTTAGTCATTGTATATTAAGCTTTATATATTCACGTATCACTTTTGATAATAAGCGTGATATTTATTAGACATACGTCTTTTGAAAAAAAAAAAGAGAAAGAAACACTATTGCAAGAATTACATGAAATTTTTCATTCAAAGCGTTAACAAAGAGAAAAAGGAATAATAAAGTACCGTTAGTATCCCATTCGATAAAGTACGATATTAAATGAAAAAAAAAAAAAAAAAAAAAAAAAAAAAAAAAAAAAAAATAAGATCATTAGTCTTGGACACGGCGAACGATTATGATCGCATGATCGGAGTAAATATCCAGGATTGTGCGTTTAGATATCGCATGTTAATTCGTAATTAAAGGTTATTGCCGATTATTCTCGAACGTTTCCAGAAGAAGTTTCAATTGTAACGTTTACACGGTAGAGTTACGATCTGTGCGTTTTGTATTAACTCTTTATGGACGAACAAAGAGCATGAGTTCGTTGACCTTGAACATCAATCGAGTATACAAAAGCGATCTTTAATGTCAAATTTCCTTCCTATTTTATAATCTTGTCTCTTTAATTTTTAAAAACGTTAATTATTTTTCTTAATATCGATTGATCGTAAAATAGAACAGTAGAACGAAATTCAGCGAAAATCTCTCGTCAAATCAAGGACAATCCGTAATAAATAACAATAACAATCTGAGAAATCAATGGTCAATAGCTTAAAAATTGTTGGCGTTAGCTAGTTCATTTCAGTTCGTTTGCCAAATCAAATAGATCAAAGGTGAGATTTAATAATTCGAATGAGAGTGTCGATCATCCTGGATATATACATATGTATATATGAAAGATTGTTAGGTCTTTCAGTTAATTGCAAGTAATTTAAAATCCGTGTCAGGGTTGTGTCACGTGTCCCAGAGCAGACAAATAATGAAAGAAGGTGGAAGCAGAATTTGAACGTACTAAAAACTAATTTTCTATTTCAACTAGGCGCGAAAAGGCTATAATGGCAAATGATTGGGACACTACGAAAAAAAAAAGAAAAAAAAAAGAAGGAAAGAAATGGGCATCTAATGGAAGGTAATAACGTAAATGGGAAAGAACAAGGTGGAACTCACGAGGTATACCGACCAAACTAATTCTCGACTTCGTTAGGTCCGCCAATAAGCAGGGCGACTTTAAGGTCGGTAAAAGTTAGCCGACTTTTTTGTCTTTAGAAAAAGGGGAAGGGGAAGGTGAGGAGAAACGTGATTCTTAAGAAAGAAACACGGAAGAAAGTCGATGCTAGGCTATCAACAATGTCGTTCCTAGTGCGTGTCGCTGAATCGATTAGCGATTAGAACGAGGAGTGAATTTCTAATCTACAAGAACGACCGGGTCCGTTCAAATTATCTCACGTATACTCGAACCCGGGAATTTTTAAAATGAAACATCAACGATATCATTGAATTTCTTAAACGTTAACTAATAATTTATTTCATCTTTTTTTTTTTTCTTTTAAAGTGTTATTCGAGGGTGCTATCAACGTTATCGTTTCAAGGGTTGACGGGGAAGAAAATGAAGGGGGAGGGAGAAAGGTAGGAAAGGAAAAGACGCTCACCCAATGCACGACTGTCTACGCCTGCTTTTCGTTCGGCGATCTCCTCCTCATCCTCTTGGAGTTCCTCTTGCACGTCGCTTACGAACTCAGCGATGAAATTTCCAGTTTGCTCAATGACCTCGCTCATCGGTGGTTCACTTTTCTTTCCAGATACTTCAATTTCGATCCTGTCAATGTCTCTAGCAAGTCTCTTTCTCAGGCAATTGCCAATGTTGTCCTCGAAGACGCACTCTAGGGTGTTTCCTTCCTCTTCGTTTTGAGTTACAGCCGAGCCGAATGCGGTAGAAAGGACAATCACCCCAATGATTGATAATAAGATCATAGAATTCCTCATGATGTCCTTTTCTTTTTCTGTCGTGTTTTTTTCTTCTTACGTACGCGTCCTACGTATGTAAACGTACTCGATATACGTTGACTGAGAAAATTAAACGAGAAAGAGAGAGAGAAAAATAAAGAGATAGAGAGAAAGATAAAGAGAGCACACCTTCAAATTCCTTTCCGTTCTTCTTCGTAATTCAGCCTCTTCCGTAAATATTTTTTTTTTCAAGTTTCCTTTAGCTCTCCAACTTTTTATATCCTTGGGCAACGTGTCACAGGCACGGAGTGCTTGTTCAAGGTGCGTGGTTCGAGCATATATGAGAGTGAAGCCCCTTCCCCTTGAACTTGATCCAATCATTGTGAACAGAGACATACTCGCCTTCTTTCTGGTATCCTCTTCGTCCCTACCCCTATCCTTTGTCCCACCTTTGGTCACTCGTTCTTCTTTCTCTTTCCTTTTTTTTTCATTTAGTCTTTCTTTATTTTCGTCTTCTTTTCTCTTTACTCCTTTCTCATTCACATCGTTCGATATTTTTCGTCCTTTGATCTATCGTTTATCGCCGTAAAATTTTCATTTATGATCATCGGGGATCATAAAAGAATTCGATTATGAGATCGAACGGATCGGAAGACTTGACGAGTTTCGAGTTAATATACGAAAAATTTATAGGTGGTATAGCTTCACGTTCCGTTCAGATATTCATTTGTAATTCCTATTCCGATATCGCACTAACTTTTCAAACACAAGAAATAAAATATCAAAAAAGAAAAAAAAGAAAAGAAAAAAAAAGAAAATTATTTCTGTCAAAATAGGTTGATTGCGTTTTCGTTACCGATAGCAAATTTATATTTTGACAACTATTGCATACATTTTGGTTTCTTCCTTTTGCATACATTTGGTTATTTCTAAATTATATATGGTTGGAATCGTGAATTTTTGAGAGTATAAAATCTAAATAAATACTTAGTCTTTTCCTTTAAAATTAGTTTTTCTGTTTTGTGTCACCTAATCCGTTTAAAAGACACGCCGGAGTTAGAATATGCAACCTGGTACACGTGTTTGGTGAGTACGTGGTCCGACCACAGAAATTCTGCTTGAACTACAACAGGATGCTAATACAACCCAATTTCTTACATCTTCCGTCTTTATTGCTATTTTAAAACTAACGCCAAATCGTAGAGAAATCGTTACTTTCCAATCGTACAGTAACTCGAATATTTGCGCAGGTCATTGTTTATCAATTAAAATAGAAGACATTTCAATTCATTATTATTTCAATTCACGCATTATAGTATATCTATTTCTTGTCACTTTTAAATCATTCGTTAAGGGTCAATAAACTATGTATATTAACTTTGTTATATTTTTTGTATTTATTTTAAGTATTTAAGTTACACGTAAGTAATGTCTAGTTGATTTGCGTAACACTGAAAATGTCATGCTCGTCAAACGTACAAAGACCCAGTACGAGTTTGTAATACAAGAACCGTCACGATTCATCGCGAGTCTTTTACAAGTTAATATGACACTAATGAACGTAAGTAAACAATATGAAAGATTCATTTTCGAACACGGTTGTCTGTCTTTCTCTTTCTCTCTCTCTCTCTCTCTCTCTCTCTCTCTCTCTCTCTCTCTCTCTCTCTCTCTCTTTCATAATATAACTCACTTCTCTTTTCTTCCTTTTTATTTATTATAATTTTTATTAATATATAAAAACTTGTATCTTTGAACGTAGTAATTAAATCAATTGACTTAACGACAAGATCTGTTAATTTTATCATTGTCATTTAACTTTAATCATAGCGTTCAAGTAATTCGCTGACTTTTATAGAAAACAAAGAATTTAACAATATATTTTTATATTATCTTTTATATTTCATTAATCTTTTTGTCAAAGAAATAGTCATATAATCGTCTTAAATGAAATAGTTCTTCGATGACTACTTTTAATAGTACACATTTTATTTTTATACGAATGCGTATTCTTAATCGTATTTATTTGGATATTATTAAAATTTCTCTTGATAATGTTCAGATAGTTCCGTTACGTAGAACGGAAATTTCGATAAAAATATCGAAAGTTTTAAAAATATTTTCGTCATAGTCATAAAAAATTTGTTGAGATTTTCTTTTTTATTTTTATTGTTTTTTTATTTTTTACATCAATTTATGTATTCGAAATGAAAAAAGAAAAATACATATATTTATGAAAAATACCAGAGAAAGGAATAGCCTTGGAGCGACTGATCTCTTCTTTTTGTTTCGTTTGATTGTGGATGGAAAGTGATATTCGGTTGATGACCGAATTTGTTTGACACGTATTTGACTCGTGTATCGACACCACTTTCACTCCATGATCGATAATTGCCATTTTTATCACCATTACGATAACCAGTCTCCTGATGACCGTGCGAAATTATCGAATAATTGAAATAATAGTAGAGATCGTTAACCATTTTCTTGAGAGAACTGTCTTTGAGAATAATTTCATTCTTTTTAGTATCGTTAGAAATGATTTTTTTAATAGAGTTTATCATCATTTCTTTGACAACGCGTTCCATCTGTTCGTTTCCTTTCTTATCGATCGGAATACGATTAATATTTTGAAAAATTTCGGACTTTTTTCGAGACTCGTTTTTCTTTGTTAAACTTGTTCCGTTGTCTTCTTTCATGGAAGTATTTTCTACAAATTAATGATATAATATTAATTTATTAAATCCAAATGTTTTGTACTTTTAAAAATAAATTCTCGTTATATCTTTTTGCCAACCTGTTTTCTTCCTATGTTCGGTTAATACTTTCATCATTTCTTTTAATATCGGTTTAATAATTTTTTTCTCAATCAATGGTTCAGCATCTTTCGCAAGAATTTCATTCTCGTTTACTTTTAGATTCTTAATAATCGGAATTTTACACCCACTGCAAGATTTCATTACAACTTCGAAGAGCTTTTTGGCAGCTTCAGGTCTATTCTTAAAGATCTCTCGTGCGTCTTTCACTTCAAAATATTTCGATATGATTATGAATAAAACCTGGCTAAAATGATTTAAACAAAATAAATAAAAAAAAATATTACTTACAGCTTGTTATCTTTCGATTTCTCATTTTGGTTATGATAAAATCTCCATTCTTATCAGTTGCATATCCAGTCTCGTGATAAACTCCATCTGCCGTTATAAAACCGTATTCACCAGTGATAATTCCGTCAATGTCTTGATTCGAAAGAAAATTTGATTGATTTATCAAGAGAATTATAACATAAAAATATTATTCTTACAGGATAATTAATTTTATATAGATTAATATTTTTAGTTTTATAGTTATATATATATAAATAAAATAGTTTATATAAATTAAAATAAGATAATAGTTAAAATGAGATATTTTATAGATTAATATTTTTTTGTTTTTTAAGAAAAATATTTTTCCTTAAGTACCTTTTTTCTCATATCTATGTTGAAAATCGACAATGCTGAAGGAGAATTCGTAAGGTCTGTTTTCGTAATATGGATCTTCGATCAAAGTACAGGTTCTTGTAAATAAACACAAAAATAGAAATGTGAAAGTCAAATTTTTGTTTAACAATGAAGAAAAATATTTTGACGAATGAAAACGAACGAATGAAAACGAACAAACGAATGAAAATAACATCTTGCGAGATAGAAGAGATTGTCTAATGGAACTCGCGAGACTAAGTGCGTTCGTCAAATAAATTCTGCGATGTGCCTTGACGTTGTGTTGTAATCGAACGTATGTATGTAACGAAGATTACAACAGAGATTATTCCGTCTACGATATTTTACAGGATATAAAACGAAGAATCCGTGGAGAGTAGAGGGAGCAAAAGCTCACTAAGAGAAAAAGAAAAGGAAAGAAACGCCAGACTTCAGCAAGATTTTTCTTCGCGATTGCTTTCACGTATTTAGTAACTGACATCGTTCATAGAAAATTACACAATATTAGATATTAAATATAGATATTAAATCTTAAAGATCGTAAATCTTGCAAATTGATGTCAAGCATTTGCTAAATTTTTTTAAATCTCGCTGTTGTTTTCTTTTTTTTCTTTTTTTTTTTTTTTTTTTATTATCCATTCTTTCTTCCTCCAAAGAAAATTTATTTTCTCAATATTGCAGCTTTTTTCTACATTATTTTTTCATAAATATTTAATATTATTTATTTTAATATTATTTACTTATTAATTCTCAATAGTATTTTGTATATTTTGAACGATAAAGGTCGTCTCTAAATATTTTTTAATAGATTATGAGAAATGAAAAGGAGTGTCGATAATTAAAAGAAATAAATAAATTCAATTCATCTTGAAAGTAATTCAAACGTAATAGTAAGCTCGCTTTATTTCTTTGTTCTATCGGTAAATCAAGAATCGTGAGCAGAGGATTAATGTTCTTGGTGATTATATTAACGATTATTTAAGCACTGACCTTTAAATCGTTATTTATATCGATAATATACAATATCAAGTTCCGTGTCTCTATATCTCTCTTTTGATCTGCGTTCTATTATTCTTACATATTTAATTAGTTTCATAATAAAACTCGAATGAAAAATCTTGTGACATTCGTTCAAATGTGTGTGTTATGGAAAATGTAAATACGTACGTCGGATATATTTCGTTTTGAACAAATGTAAATAAAAAGAAATAAATATAACAAACGACGTTAAAAAAGGTAAATTACACACTCACACACACACACACACATACATGAAATTAATAAATTATGAATAAGATTATTAAATGTTGCAAGGCACGAACATATGACTTCGTTCGTACTTATGAATATTAATTATTACGTCTAAACGAGGAGAAAGTAGTTTCTAAGCGACTAAACTTCTTCGTTATTGTCCGAGACCTCGAAAGCGATTCGATGACTATTTTTGACATATGTATATACATATACGTTTCTAAAATTTTTTGCAATATTTCGTGTGCTTGATGAATAATACAATCAAACGTTCTATGAGAATTAAATCATGTTTCTCTTTCTTTTGTTATTTTTTGTTATTTTTTGTTATTTTTTGTCATTTTTATTTTTCCTTATATTTTTAATATCATTCGATATTTATTTACAATTTTAAATAAATGTCTCGTAAAATAAACATTTTATAGGAACCACTGATAGAATTTTTGTAATTGATTTATTGTCAACTAATTACGAGGAATATAAATCATATCCAATATTATTTAATTATTAATCATACCCACATATTTAATTATTTTTGTAAATGTTTAAAAATTCTTCTCTTTAAACGGATTATGATATATAGTATACAGTATATAGTATATAATATATATAATATATATAGTATATAATATGTATATAGTATATATATATATATATAGCAATGTAATTGTGATCCTTATCGAATCATAGCTAATCATACTAAATTGTAATACTATTTCAATTTATATAGCAATCACATTTACATAGGCATCAAATTGAAGCTTTCCTTACGCTATTTTTTTTGTTTGCTTATTTATTTATTTATTTATTTTTTTCTTTTTATAAACATTTAAATGTTTGAATTTTTAACTCGTACCTATGTATGTAGAAACATGCATACACGTCGAACAGTTTAATTATTATTTATAAATTCAATTCATTCTTTCGCTTTGATAGTCGTTCAAGAAAGTCCACACTTTCAAAAGTAGATGCGTGATTAAAAGAACTGACGAATGGAAAGTAAAAAGAAAAATTTCAATCATTTCACGTACCTATACTTACCTATACACGTACCTATACACGTAAATATGTACTTAAGTATATAAGACGGAAAAAACAAAGTTTCTGTGAAATCTAAATATCTATGAATCCTAGATAAGAGTAAGCAATTCCGACATATAAGATACATACATAACATATATGCAAGTTGGTATCTATCTACATACATGCATAAGCTTTAACCGTGCAGTGAGTAGTTTAGAAAACGGTATGTCGATGCAATTTGTATGGCCAACCATCGATACAGTACCGATGATAGTGGCATACTAAAAGCACCTATGGAAGGTGGGTTTCTGGCACATGTAAGTACGTCTTACGAATAACGAGACATTCAAGAATAAATTTTATATTCGCGGGTGCTTTTAACCATAGTATTCTAAAAAAAAGAAATAAAATCACAAAATTGGAAATCCTTACTTTCGGATATTTAAAACAGTCTGCTTCTTATTTATGTCGAGATGATTTAAATGCAACATTGACATACATTTGATATTTTATTTTTAATATCGCGAAAAAAGTATTATCTACGAAGGGATAGATAAGGAATGGGAGGGGGAAGACAGAGAGAGAAAAGGAGGAAGGGAAGCCAATAGGCCATTTTCCCTAAGATTCTAATTTCGATTTCAATGCCAAAATGAACGAGAGAGGAATCAGTATACTATACGTATATATCCCTTCTCATCCATTCAGAATTTGGACCAAAATGCCGTTACTTACTTGTGGCTTAAGTAGGTCAACCGGCATCTTACTATCGAATATACCGAGTATAGTTACACAATCAAATCTAAGAACTGGAACAAATGTTAGTATCAAATGTTTTCGAAATATTTTGGAAAGGGAAATCTTTTGGGAACGTACGATTTATTGATGTACTTATTATTATCTCATCGTGTGTTACTTTTTTCATTTTTTTTTTTTCTATATAAAATGTGATACAAATTAATTTACATATAATTACATATTATAACGTTATTTCGATTATAGGATATTTATATATTTTTGTCTTACGGCTCTTGTCTGTATATACATAATTAATATATCTTTAATGGATGAGGAAGCATAAATTATGATAAAATACTTGATTTACATAAATCTATAATGGTGAATATATGGAAATAAATATTAATAATGAAAGAAATGCATAATCTAATAGATATAGCAATATCGTTGACATCGTTCAGATTATCTTCTTAATGAAAAAAAAAAAAAGAAATAAATATAGTCTTTGACTTTGTACTATTCATCGAGATATCATGAACATTCTGACGATATTTCATCTGCCAAACCAATCTTCATTATCCTCTTCATGCTGATGATATTGATTGTAATAATGTTCGTGATGCTGCGGCTGATGAACTATAACTACTTCAGAAGATTGCATGTTTACGATCACGTTGTATATCATTATGATTATCGCTAATTTGGCAACCATAATGCTTCTTAACAAAGACATTTTGATAGACGCAATAGTACCCGGCAAAGAAATCAACTGAAACAGTAAAATTTTTAATCCTTTGTGTAAAATTAACATTAAATCATTGCATAAGAAACGTTTGTAATAATGAAAATTAATTTTTTGTAATTATAAACAAATAAATTATTGCACCTGCATAGCGAAAGGAGCCATCATCATCATAAAACCGATTTTCTTAATTGGATTTGGTTCCTTCGTCTGCTTGAAATCTGCTCTCCCTTGTATTGCATTTCCTACGAATAAATTTTTTTTGAATTTAATTTAAAAATTTTCAAATTATTTAAATTCGAAGCATACGGTATTTGTATTTGTTGTATTCAAAAATACCTTCAAATATATCTAATATTCTTACGTTGATCCAAACTTGTTTACCCTTGACATATAATTTAACACCCGAATAAAGATCCAAACATTGCATCTCAATTGAGGTTACGTTGTTATTCGACCTTAATTCGGTCTTTGCTAAAGCATTCGTTACGGTAATTAGACAGAGCATACTGAAAAGAATGCTTTCCACTTCTTTCATTTCTTCAATAAAGCTCGTACTCGTAGAATGTAGTTTACTCGCACTTTAGATAGTAAGTATAAATTCCATTTATTATATCATTCATTATTGTTAATTTATATGTTATATTTAATATATATATATATATATATATATATATATACACATACATACACATACAGTAAGGGTCTTATGTATTTAGTATGATATATATTTCCTTTAATAAGAATGTAAATTACAATACAGTTATATACAGTGTGTCCCATGCAATTGGAATATATTATATCTTCTAAAAGTTTGAAAATAGAAAAAATATTTTAAGTCAAAGTTAAATGATATCAGACGGTACATAATGTGTAAATTATTTTATGTATTTCTGTTCATTAATGCAACTGCATTTTTCTTTTTAATAGAGACCTATATTTTTGAAATCACCATTTGATGCAGTTTTTTATGCTCTACATAAAAGTATTAATTTATACTCTAAACTTATACATTAGGAAGTTATTGTAACTAAAATTTTCGGAATTATTTAGATCTGTCGCTAAGTGTTAATGAACGGATAATGTTACGTATAATGAATACTTACTAAGGAAAATTTTAATCTTATATTAATATTAATAGCTGGTTCATGTTTACTGGAATAATTCAGAAAACTTTTAGTTACGATAATTTCCTAATGAATGTTAATACTTTTATGTATATTAATACTTTTGTATACAACATAAAAAACTGTATTAGTTGATGTAGTCAAAACTATAGATTTCCATTAAAACAGAAGTACAGTTGCATTTTTTTGATGCACCGATGCGCAAAAGTGCATAAAATTATTTGCATATTATGCACCATTTGATACCATTTAACTTGGACATAATATTTTAGCTATTTTCAACCGTTTAAGATATACAGGTTATTGTATTATAATTACGCGAAACACTCTATATATATACATACATACATACATACACATATATATATAGTGTGTTCCGCGTAATTAGAATATATATATATATATATATATATATATTATTATATATATTATATATATATTATATATATTATATATATTATATATATATTATATATATATATTTATATATATAATGAAGAACTTATGTATTCAATAAGGTATATATTTCTTTCAGTAAGGATATGTATATCATAATACAGTAAAAATATATTATTTCCATATTTCAAATAATTTTTGTGTTCCTAGCATTCATGATCTCGAATCATAACTTTTATAAATGAAACATCATATATATATATATATATATATATATATATATATATATATATATATATATATATAAGTACCTACTTAAAAGTAACACTAGAGTATTAAATTAATTATTTTTAAAAATCTCTTATAAATATTTGGAATGTATCCTACCTTTGTTATTAATAGGAAAGTAGTTGATCGATGGGCAAAAATTTTTGATGAAAAAGTTTGGAAAATATAGATATTATCGCGGTTTTCTCATGTTTATAAAACCATCACAACAATAAAAATAACAGAGACGTCGTACTCCTGTTTGACCATCGACTGGACTGTTCCATGGTCTGCCGAGCGAAGAGCTAATATTTTTCTTATTTTCTCCCCGCATAGTTACCAGACGGAAGTCAAGAAACTAGGTCTAGCTTGCAGTAGAACGCAATCGGTTTCATAAAGAATGCGTAACAGTGGGATCTTTGAGAAAGAAAAAGAAGCAAAAAAAAAAGAAAGAAAAGGAAAATATCGCTTGATCTTAAAATCGAAAAAAAAATTGTACACTTTGTTCGATCAATTTCTCTTAAAATTAACGTAATACACTCATAGATTACGATTTTATACTGATAATAAATAGAATTATTATTTTACAAAAGAAATATTACAATTATTGCCTATGATAGTTTTAAATCAAAGATTGTCACGTATTTAATACGTTCGTTGTAATAACAAAATTAATCGCTAATGCTTTAGCATGAGGTATTTTACTTATTGCAATATATTTAGTTAACAGTTTTGGTTCTAAAGTTTGGTTAAATTCTCAATATTTTTCTTTTTAATATTTACATAAAACAACATATATATACAACATATATATGGTATCAATTTTATGACGTATCAAAAATAAAATTAATTGACCTATCCACGTTTTTACGGGAATTATTATATAAATACATATATATATATTTTTTTTTTTCAAAAGAAAGGAACACTGTATCTATCATTTGGTTTTTAAAAATAAATGTCATTATTGTTCTCTTACTTGTTTATAGTTTCCTTTGGTATTTCTCTTTCTCTCTCTCTCTCTCTCTCTCTCTCTCTCTCTCTCTCTCTCTCTCTCTCTCTCTCTCTCTTTCTCCTTTCTCTCTATTAGGACGAATAATAAATTATGAAACTTTACGTATAGCTTACTTTCGTTAGCTATATGGTAGCCATAATATATAGTTAAGAATACTTTTAACTAAATAAAAAAATATAGTTAACTTTATGAATGATCTCCTATGGACGAACATTGTTTAAAAGCTAAGTAAATCTTTCCTCAACTATTATATCACTAAAATTGATTAGTGAATACAAGCGGAACATATTCAGCATTTACGGTAAGTAAAAAACTAGATAATTTATAAATTAACAAGTAATCAATCACGAAGGCACTACAAAAGGCACTAAATGAATCACAGATCATCGATATTATTCCATTTCTTATCGTCGTATTTCCATTCAATACGAGCGATAAAAAGAAGTAATCGAATCCAGTGCATTTCATTTTTTATCCCTTGTAATAATAATTTTCATCGTTTCCCGGCCCGCTCGCGGTTTCCCAACCGTGATAAGCTTGTCCGTGAGCGTAAGGAAGATCGTTGTGAACATGTACGTGGATCGGTTGAGGCGACCAGGAATGTGGTACGTGTTGTTGATTCCAAGAATAGAACTTGGCAAGGAAGCTACTTAACTTCAGTATCAACAGAATAATACCTGGAAGAGGAAAATAAATTAATGATTAATTTCTATTTTTCCCGATCGATGATTGACAAAACGAAGAAAGTTTTTAAGTAGGACACAATTTGACCGTTAAGTCACGTGACATCATTGATCATAAAAGTTTCAATCGATGTCTCCTTATTATGTATGCATCTTGCAACATTCGAAAGAGACACCGTTACTTTTCCTTTTTTTTTTCTTCTTTTCTTTTTTCTTTCTTCCATAGGATTTTTTCCTTCACCATCGATCTTACCGATTAAAAGACCCTTCAAGGAAATCACAGTGAGCACCGTCAAGAGAGTCATCATTGCTCCCATTTTGTACATGATCGGCATCAACATAAACTGTATCCTTTTAAAGCCGAAAGTACGGCCTGTACTTTCGACCCCTTTTCCTGCAAAATTCATGAGTACCGTTTTAATGAGAGCTCTTTTACGAAAGGATGTCAGTGAAGTATGTGAGAATATGTAGATTTTTTTTTTTTATAAATCATAAACGTGAAATAACAGTGATTTTAGTTAAACCTGTCAACACGTTGCTCATTTTCATTATATATTATGTATCTACATGAATAACAAATGGAATTAGTCTCTATCGCGAGAATAATGTTTTAGTTTAATGTCGACATTAAAAAGTATTACGTATATTTTTACAAACGTAGATTATATATATATACATACATACATACATACATACATATATATACACATATACATATACATATATATATATATATACATATATATATATATATATATATGTATATATATATATACGTAAGATTACCTTTGGTCACGTTTCCATCGAGTATCTTGTCGAAAAATTGTCTAACATATTCCACGTCTTGATCGACCGAAGAATTCTTTGAAACTACCGTTAATCCGTTTCTTCTTCCTTCTTCGACTTTGCCGATCGCATAATAAAAATCTGATCGTTCGTCGGATATCACTATTTTTGAAAATGACGCCAGTACGAGAAGGCACGTCAACGTCCAACCAATCCCCTTCATGTTTAGATCACTAACCGTCACGTGATATGTCCTCTAATCATAAATTTCGATCGTTTTAACACGATCGATCTTATCTGATTAATTTTTTAAATATTTCACACAGATTTTAATTTAAAAGGAAGAACGTGTTAATCGGTCTCGCACGAGAAGCCTTATGATTCGGACGAACGAAGGCGAAGTCGTTAGAACTGAAAATGGTAAGCGCTTGGAGGAATGCGCGTGCGCTCTGCGCACCATTCCTCGTCCCCATCCTGAACACTTTCCTTGTTCCGACGTTTTGGTACACGTCGAAAGTGATTTGTGAGATCTCACGAACTTTCGATATTGTTCATTACATTCGAAAAGAGAAGAAAAAAAGGAGTCGTCAATTATTAAATATATTATATATTATATATTATATATATATTCTAAATATATATATATATATATATATAAATATATATATAGAGACATAGCCTATAATAGATATATATATAATATATAAAAATTAACTGTTTAATTGTATTTTAAGTAAACGATTCAACTGTTAATTGTTAAATTGATAAATTTTATATTTTTATAATTTTTTTACAATTAAATATTTTTGACAGTATACAATATATTGAAAGTTTGTAACGAAACTATAATGTAACTTATATATATATATAGAATATAATATACATGTATATATATATATATATATATATATATATATATATATATAAGAGGAAGAGGATGATCTTCTGATGAAAAAGTTGTTAATAAGAAACGACTTATTCGTTTAATTTTTATTCTCTTTCTTATATAACAGCTGCTCGATGCTTGAACGTACCGATGTTCGATACTTCTTGAGTGCCGTATAAAACGATCGTTACTGAAGGTAATGACATTCTAATGGTCAACCGTTCAGAATACGAGATAAGGAATGAGCTAAGATCGAAGTTAAATATGCCGTTTAATCATTTCTTACTTCTATTATTTTTTGTTTATAACAAATTCGCATTCATATGTTAGAACGATTTTATTTTTTCTTCTTTTTTCCCCCAGAATAAACTATAATTCTTTTCAAATTTTTCGAGAAAATTGTTTTCCAATGGATTTCTTTAGGTGAATGCGAAGATAACCTTCACAAATGTGATGATCAATGAGTTTTTTTTTTCTTTTTTTCTTTTTTTTCTTTCTTCCTTTCTCCCAATACAGTTATCATGGAAGGAAAAGTAGGTATATATTTTGGAGCTCTTTCGAACGATGTATGTTGCGGGGAACTTTGTCCCACTTTCTACGTCACTGTCACGGTCACTGTCCGACGATCATTCGCGTACGACCGTCACCTTGAGCGCGATTGTTTAACCATGAAGACGAGTCTCTTTTATTCCATTATGTTAGTTCGAAAGGAATCGTGAAAATGATGATATTCAATTAAAATATAAAATAGACCGCTATTAAAACTATTTAATATAATATTGAAAGAAAATGATATGTTTTTTTTTCTTTCCTTCTTGCGTCTTTGATTTTATTAATCCGTATATTCACATTATTTCATATCTTCATAGCTTTTACATAGATACATACTATACAAAAAATAAATGCCTGATTAATGCAATTGTCAATCGTTTATTAACTTAAGTTAAATCATTTAACATGCATTAACTATTATAAATGTCATTAGATATAGAGCAAAGTTGCAGTACATATTCTATGTACATATAAGCGATAAAAATCTAATAAATATATAAATCTTATTACGCTATTAAGAATGAGATTTGTCATATGATTACAATTAAAATGATAAAAAAAGATAAAAAAGATCTTGTACTCATAATTAGATCTAAAAAAGTTCTTATTAATAATTGTACACTTTGTTTTGTTTTGTTTTTTTTTCTTTTTTTAATACACAATTCTTTCAAAAATACAATTCCTTTCGTTGTCTTTGGAAAAATTCTTCAAATCATTATCAAAGAATGGTGTATGGACAATGTAAAGCGTTGTGAACGTAGCTTAAAACGTGCGGACAGTCAGTAGATAAAGAAAGAAAGGCAATACAGGTTTACTGTAGCATCTTTACGTTGAGAATCCAGTACAGAAAGAGAGAAGAGGAAGGAGGAAAGAAGTAAGGGGTAAAGAGCAGCCATCTTAGAAAATAAGGATCACTGCAAAAATGCATTGCGTTCTCCTCTTCCCTCCATCGCTCTACCTTCACCGACGGGTACTTCGAGTCTCGATTCCTTCAAGGACTAAAAATTCAACCCCTTGCACCGAGAACGAAGAAGCTGTTTTAAACATGAACCTGAAACCCGCATCGGACTTTATTCGAAGAGAACTGTCGGCCAATGAAACTTCTTCATTTTTCTTTATTTCTATCTTTTTCTCTGTTTTTATTTTTTTTATTTTTTCTTTTTTTCACTTAAGACTCGAATTTGCTAACTATGGACTAATTCTTTTTTGTTTTCCTTCAAATCATTATGATTACTATGAATTTTTCGTGTATAAATGCAACTGAAAAAAAAGGAAAAAGAAAAAAAGAAGAAAGAAAAATATATCCGTAGTTACGAATGCTTTAGCATTTATTTTGACAGAAAAATATTCTAGGACGAGATGATATAATTTTCACGTACATATACGGAACTCGAAGGAAGATGAATATTAAATAAAAAGATCCTAAAAAGCAACACAGCATATTATTTTCTAGGGTAATATGTATTTAATTGCTTTCAACTTAACAAAAAAAAACCAAGAAAAAGATCATTTCGAACGTGTGGTTGATTACGGTCTGTAATTATACAATGTATATTTCTTATATACATTATATATATATATATATATATATGAATGAATATATATATGAATGAATATATATATGAATATATATATATGAATATATATATATATATATATATATATATATATATATATTCATTTATTATGATTAATCTTCTTTATAATACCGATGATTAATGAGAAATATCAGGAAAGCATGATCATAAATAAATGTCATAAAGGAATAATGAAAGTAGACGTTAGATGGTAAAACGTAAAAACGTAAAGAAAAGAAAATGATGGAATATAAATTTTGTAAAAGTTTTTACCTGGTAAGCATAAAAGATTCCGCGGCCGTTTCATCGATAGTACGTTCAATCCAGGGCCGTTAAACCATGAACTTGCTTCTCCTCGAAGTCTCCAAGGATGCACATAGAGAAGAATCGCAAAAATGGAAATGCCAGGTTGCTGTTGGTAGGGCTAGATGCATGCGTACACGCTCGTGTACCTTCGTGTTCCGCATTGGAAGACGATGGTATGTGTATCACCATACGTGTGGCATGGCTGACCATAGACCGGCTCCGAGAAGTGGCCGAGACATTCGCCTCTCGACCGCGACCATGAGAGCACTCAACTCTCAACGCCTACGGCCAAGAACGAGCATCATCCGTAGTTTAGCACGGAGCTACTATTTTCTTTTCTTCATCCTAATCTTTTTCCTCCTTCACGGTGTTTCTTCGCGGAGTGTATCCTACGATGATATTGACAAGCACGAGAAGATTACTTCGGAATCGTCAGCGCAGAAGATCGATCAGGTAAGACTAAACGAAACGAGTCGAAAGAAACTTTCAGGATCGATCGATTGGCACGAACAAGAGAAAAAATTGATCGAGGATGAAGTCAAAATAACTGAAAGGAACGTCGAGAGGAATGAGACTTCTATTGCAAAAAAGAGACGACGGAACGATTTAACATTACCCGTTAAGAGTGTAGTCCAAGAAACAGAAGCAAGTTTTATCGGTAATGCCGAAGGTGATGCCATAAAGAACGAAGGCATTCGTAGATTTGACGCTGAAGTAGAATCGGTGGACGAGATAGAGCTACCGAATGATCAATCTTCGAAGATCAATGTAGATCGTAATAACGGACTGACCAAAGGTGAACGTTCGCAGAAAAAGGCTATCAAGGTTGACGATGTCAAGAACAACGACGACATCGTTCTAGATATTCCGGTAGAAATAAAAACCTCAAATCAAAGCGATGATATTGCTAAGATAGAGACTGATAATACTTTAGCGATAAAAGAGGACATACGTAACAATCTTCGAAGTTTGATTGCCAATGAAGAAAATATTTCTGAAATCGATCGAAATAAAGAATCGAATCCAATAACAATGACCAAATCGATTAAATCGAAAAGAGAACAAAGATATTTAGAGGAAGCTCGAGGTAAGTTCAAGCACAAAAGCTCAACCGTGTATTTGAGTGCCGAGGATGGTTCCGAAATTCCCGATAACGAAGAGAAATCGATCGTTGATAGCCAAATTAAAAAATTGATATCCATTCGCGACGATGCACTAGGTTTGGTAAAAGATAACGTAAAAAATAAGAAAAATGTTGACGAAGTTAAGATTCTTAATGAAGCAAAATTGCTTGGAATCGACGATGTGATTGTAACCGAGGAAAACATTGACGAGGTTAGAAATCAACGAAGTAATTTATCGGATGTCAAATATCAGAATAACATCCGGGCTTCTTCCTCTTTAAATAGTATCGATGATCGTCTTCAAAGATGGAGAAATCAGGCGATGTTGTTACAAGAACAAATAAAAAATCGTACCTTCGTTCAATATTTAAAAGAACACGCGATCGACGTACTCCCGGAAATTCCGAAATTTAATGAAAATCAATTGTTGGAAACGCTGAAGGATATCGTTGCCTCGAAAAAATCGACGAACTTAAGCGAATCATATTCCAGTCAATTGAACGCGACAGATTTGACCAAAAATCAGATTGATATAATCAAGTGCGCAGAACAATTGGTCGAAGTAAAGCAAAGACAATCTTTCGTTAGCAACATGTACGAGTGTATTAGGGGACTTAGCGTGTTGAATTGCATGAGGATCTTTATATGGCCGATCATAACCGATAATATTCCAGAATCTATCAGTCAAGTATTTGCTGCTAATATACCTATAGAAATAAATTTGATCGATCTATTTCAAAGTAATCGAGAAAAAATCGATAGATCATCTTCCAGCGTCCATCAGAAAAGATTATTAACACCGGAATCCGTGGTATTATCGATATTAAAACAAGCATTAGAATCGCGTCTCGAGGTAGATAAGCCACCATACTTGATTGACTCAAAGAATAAAACTTTTCAAAAGTTGCTGACACCTGGACAATTAGAGATCCTTCAATTAGGTGAAAAACTCTTACCTCTAGAATTACGTCGTGAATATACTGACAAAATGTTTTCCTGCGTGCGAAGATTCGAATATCTCAGCTGTTTAAGATATTTCGCATGGCCCATGATGAAACAATATTTTCCAACTCTACCAGCTTTTCCAGATTATCAAACTTGGTATCCAAGTATTACCATAGTTCCTGAATATCCGATCGTTCCGTTTCCTGGTTTCTCCGATGAGATTGGAGAACTTCCTGAGGTCGTCGATTCCGATGCTACTAGAATGAGGAAGCCTACGCCGGAAACAGTGATCATACACGTTTTACGGAATACTCTCAAGGATTATCCAAGAGTAGAATCGACATCGTCTCTCTATGAGGAACCAACAAACTTTTACACGACTGTAATTCCTCCGGATCAATTAATAACCATACAAATGGCCGAGCAATTTATTCCGCTCTCTTATCGGCCGGAATTTGTTCAAAAAACTGTTCGATGTATACAAGAATATAATTATTTAACCTGTATGAAATATTCGACTTGGCCCACCGTTAAACAATTCATTCCAAATCTTCCCGATTTCTCTTCTTTCTTCCCAGACATCCAGATTCCCGGTTTGTCCGATTTATTCGCATCTTTTCCAAGTATTTCACCAACTTTTTCAGATTTTTTCGGACTTATACCAAATGTACCAAGCATACCAAGTATACCAAATATACCAACTATACCAAATATACCTACGCAAACAATACCTATGTCACCACAAATTCCACAAACGATACCAACCCAAGCGCCTACTTCTAACATATTGTATAGAAAAAATGATGATCCTCGTTTGAATTTGGAATCTAAAATTATTGAAACACTGGAACAAGTTCGGAACTCTTTAAAAAGCGTAAACGAGATTCCTTCGCAAACAGTCTCTGGAAACGTGATAATTTTGACGACCCTGACGGAGAAACAATTTGAAATTTTGAAATTGGCCGAAAATATTCTTCCGCCGTCAGCTCGTGCCACATTTCTCGCACAAGTTTTGAGGTGTCTTCAAGATAGAAACGATTTTATGAATTGTACACAATATATAATCTGGCCATCGATAGCATATTACTCACAAAATTTGCCAGAATTTTCGCAAATAGAAATTGAAACTTCATCGAATGAGTCATCGCTTTTAGACAGTTTAACGGAAAGCAAACAAATTTTGCAAAACTCGACGAAATATATTCAAGAAGCGATCGATCCTGATATTTTAGAAAAATCTACCGTAAAAATAATGTCCAGAACGTCTGCTCAAGCTGAGCCTGTTTTGAAAACAACTTCTCAACAAAATAATGTTCCTGTAATTAGTATAACTGGTACAAGATTCGTACCAATATATACGGAACATCCTGAATCCGTCATATTCAATATCTTAAAAAAGATTCAACAATCGTCTCCGAACGTTGTTAACGCATCATCGAACGAAACTATCAAAACGCAACTTTTTTACGATTTATTAAACGCTCAACAACAATTAATCGTTAGAATTACAGAGAATTTGATTCCTGAATCAACCAGATCTGAGTTCATAGATCACATGATCAAATGCGTTAGCGAATATAATTTTATACTTTGCTCGAGAGACATTCTCTGGCCTACCTTGATTGATTATTTCCCAGGAGTTCCGAGTTTCCCGAATTTTGGTATATTTTCAAACGTACCGAATAATGAAAATTCTATTTCTTCTCTTACGTCTCATAATCTAACAGAAAATAGTTCGAATGCGGAGGTTTCTCATCTTTCGGAGACAAATGTTAAAACCGGACAACATGGAGATGCAAGAGTGACAATAACAGATACAAGATTTGTTCCGATTTTCACCGAACACCCCGAAGCTATAATCTTGAATATTTTGGAAGCAGTAAGAATTTCTACACCGAATTTACCACGTATCGATTCACCCACGAGAAAAGAAGATTTATTGCATTATTTCACGGATAGACAATATCAAATAATTCAAACAGCAGAGTGTCTTTTGCCAGAATCCGAACGTGTTGTTTTCATTGAGAGAATGACCACTTGCATTCGAAGAAATACGTTCTTAGAATGCACCAAAGATATCACTTGGCCAACGATTCATCAGTTTTTCCCTAGATTGCCAAGTTTCCCTGAATTTGGGATTTCACAAAGTATAGCTAGAACGAAGCTACCTTCATCATTAAATATAAGTATTTCAGATTTCAAATCGGAAGAGGATAGAGCGGATCTTGTCAACGAGCAAACATCACTGGAACATTTTCAGAAGAAAATAGAAATAATTTTGGAAGAAGCGTTAAAAAAAGATTCGAGACCACGACTTGATCATTCCTACTTGGATACCAATAATCCAATAATACAAACTGTATTAACAAAACAACAAACCAATATTATCAGACTTATGGAACGAGCATTACCGGATCCTGTAAGACCAACATACGTTATGAAAATGTTAGAATGTATGCGTACTAATAATTTTATAGCCTGCAGTCAACATGTTAGCTGGCCTACCTTGAAAACCTATCTCCCATCTTTACCAAATTTTCCTCAATTTGGCGACTACTTTTCTCAACTGCCTGACATCAGTCAAGTACCAGGTATATCAGGAATTCCTCAACTACCCGGTACCTTACCATTGGCTGAAATACCTAACTTACCTCAACTTCCACCCAATATCCCTTCTCTTCCAGGTAGTATTCCACAGCTACCAGGGTTAATACCCCAAATACCAGAAGGAACGAGTCAGTTTCTCGATCTATCGCAATTAGGAAACATACCGGTAGCTATTAGGACGATTGAATATCCGAAAGAGATATTAGCTGCTGTACAACAATCATCGGCCGTAACACTTGATTCAGAAAAAACAAGGCAGTCATTGGTATCACCGTCGACACCGTCAGTAGGTGAATCTATCTTACTAATTAAATCAACAATACTTTTTCATTCCTATACAAACTATCGATCTTTGACTTCCCTTTATTTGCAGATGATCAAAGCATAATCCCTGGATATCCTGGTCAACCATCTGGAACCCTCATAGATATTTCTATGGAAAAAGTCAATTTGTCTGATAAGGAACAAACGGAATCCGAGTTGCCGATTAAAGAAGTTAGAAAACGAAGGAGTGTTGTGGATCTTTTCAAATCTTATCCACAAAGGATGGAAACTGAAAGGAAAAATTTGAAGGAATCCGAATCAACTTTTCCAAATATTGATGAATCCGAATTTTTACAATTATTGATCCAAGTCTCAAGATTAAAAAATCTGACAAACGATCGATATTCGAACAATGAAAAAAAATATTTCGTAGACACTTTGAATTCTACTATAAGGGATTCCTTGACCGCCGATCAATACGAGATACTTAAAAAAGTAGAAGATTTAAACGCAGCTACGTCGAAACGAAGTTTTTTGTCGAGAATCGTTCAATGTATTAGCAGTTTGAGTTTCATCAGGTGTATGGGCATATTCGTGTGGCCAGTTATATCTAGCAATTTACCATCTCTACCATCTTTACCAAGTTTCAATCCATTCGGAAGGACGATAGAGACAGAGATTGAACAATTCTTTGGAATGTCCACATTCGAATTCGAAAAAGAGTTATTAGCCAGGAAGGAATCGATTGAGAACTTTTTGTTAGAAACTTATAAAAAATTAGCTGAAGATAAGTTCCAAACCAATTGGGGTTTCTTAAAGATAAGAGGCTACGGTAATGGGGAAGTTGGTATAAGCTTCGCAGGTTTTCGCGAAGGTCGGGGTACAAAAATAAAGGACAATAAGAATTTACCTAGCATTCTTACGATCATCAGTGATATCATGGAAGAAGTATTAGATCAGAGACCAGATTCGGATAAGAGTAAAAAGGACAAAGATAAAAGGGATAGGAGTTTAAACGATAATTTCCAGGACATAGATTATCAATATTTAAAGTATAACGATGACGATGATAAGAAGACGAAAGATCGATCGATAAACGATGAGCAGATCATTAGCATGTTCCTTGATAAAATAAAATCGAACATTTCGGACAATATAGAAGGTGGTTCACAAAATTATCTCAGTTTGGAAGATGCCTACGGAGCATTCGAAGTTCTTTTTGGTACTCGATTGAATCGTAAGTTTATGAATAAACTTGAATCCTTCAAAGTGGACGATCTAAGATCGTTGAGAAAAAAAACTACTAATGAATTTGACAAAACTATAGACATCGTACCACTCAACTTGGAAACGAATAAGTCGGAATATTTAAGGGTTATTCCGTTAGACGCTAGATTAAATTACGATTTGGAAAAAGAATCGGACGATCAAACATCGAGAAACAGACAAGATCGCACGAAGAACACATTGAGATCGTTCGTGAATGAATATTCAGATTCTTACTTGCAGGAGACAAAAGTTGAGAGATCCGAAGGTAATCTGTTGAACGAATCTGATATCGAAAATAGTATAAAACAGGACGATAAAGTTTTTGAGAATGATATTCGTACAAAACTGACGATTCAGTTACCCCATCTTAACGAGGACATTGTCCCTAAAAAGATCACAAATACGATCATGGAATTGGGTCGAAATATGAAAATGAAAATGATGCAAATGTTGCCTGGAATAGGTTTTGTCATTTCTTTCCTGATACAAACGGCGCTTGCTCATGCACGTGCAGCTGCCACTATGGCCGGGATGCTCAGCAATATGGCTCTAGGTTCGGCCATGTTTGCAATGATTCGTCAAGCATTCTTTGGACCGAGCACTCATCCTAAAATAAAATACGTCTATGACAACGATAAGACAGAACCGGGTGTAGTTTGGCCACCTAAAGGATATTACGCGCCTTATTACGGCTAAGAGTAATAAATAATTGTCTGCGTTGTTTTAGATGTAATTACGTACGGTTACATTACCGTCCCTTTTCGTTGGATTAGCTTTAATAACGTTTAATTTTAACGCATATCGTTTAATTACGTACTATCGACGCTCGAAAAGCATCAATCGCTTTCAATGAACTTCGCTATTACGTAGATATTTTGCAATACTCATCGACGTTTCGCAAGAAAAATTCTCGTTTAACGTTATGTAAGGTAGTTTAATGATATATCACCCACACCTATACACACACACACACACACACACCCACACACGTACGTACGTACATTCGATAAAAAAAAGAAGAGTAAAAGGGTTCGTATATTGTATCTCGACAAATTAGCGTTTATCGTAAGGGTCAATGCGATTTTTTAGGTATGAGGCAAATAATATTTATTTTTCCTGGGGTCTTCACGGTGAAGGGTGACGCATTATCATTTATTTTCTTTATGATTTTCATATAATCAAATTACTTGTCATATAAGTTCTTTAATACTTTAATTATAATATGATTTATAATTTAATGCAATAGGATAGTTTGGAAAAACGACCGACGGATCGTTATTTCGTAGAGATTAAGACTGTCAATGATAATCTCTGATTATGAGTTATTAACGAATAAAATATACATATTATTCTCGTCGTGTTTTCTTTCTTTAAGTGTTTTTATTACAAAAAAAAAAAAGAAGAATTAATAAACTTTTTACAAATGATACAATAATTTGATTTTAAGCTGCAGCAAGTGGCACGACTGTGGGAATATTGTCCTCGATCGATTCAACTTTGTTATAATCTGTCAATTCGTCGGAATAAGGTAATTCGTTGATATAATACCTATAAAAAAAATAGTTACAAAAAAAAACACATTAAAGAGATGATAATGAAATCTAAAATTACGATTTCTGCTTACCATTCGTGAGCGTGTTCACAGTCGTTTACAATGTCACTGCAAACTCGTTGTCTTTGATCGAAGACCGTATTATTCGGGCAAATCATTGGAAAGCCTTTTCCATCATCGTCGCAAGCGTGAAAAATCCGACAATCGTAGTCGACATCGGCATAAAGACCAATTGGTTTGTTCTCGCAAGAAAATTGAAAAGTCAAATTGCTGAAGAGATTCAGATCGATTGATTGATCCGACAGATCTTCGTAAGTTTCTAGACGATTGCGTTCCTTCAATAAATGAAAAAAAAAAAAAATATATTAGAAATTTAAATAAAAAAAAAAAAAAACGTTTAAAATAAGAATTTCTTAATTCTAAAAGAGATTGCTTACGATATGTCCAAAAGTTGGTAAACCCATCGTTGTACCTAAAAATACTACACGAAAGCGATAAGTTTTGATAAATATATATTTATATAATTTCGTTATTACTTACAATATATAATATTTAGTATTAAAAGATCACCCCTGGCCATATTTAAAAGCGACTCGAACAAAATTATCACGGTATTATCGCTTCCAACAGATTTCTTCAGAGTTTTTAACTCGTCGAATCTAAATCGGTGAGAACGGACACTCGATCGAACCACTGACGTTCTCGGTTGGCAATGCAGCTGACTTCTATAAGAGCAGATAGCCGGACAACACACGTTTCTTCTTAGTTACTTAAGACACTTAACGAATTCATTGATTTTAACAAGCATGTAATCTCTAAAATGATCCACGTATCTCGCATTACCGTACGAGTAATCTTATTTAATAACATCCTGTCTTCGTTTATGTTCAAGGACTTTAAAAAAATTCAAAAATTGAAGATCGGAACTAGTACTGGTAATCTCTAGTTTATTTTTCTATAAATGCGATAAGTTTTTGTATTATAAACAATTCATTTAATTTATCTATCAGGAGCAAAATACTTTTGCTATGATAACATAAAACATATAACAGATGTCGCTGTTAAGCAAGAAAATTCATAAAGCCTAATTAATGATAGAATATTAGGAAAGACTTTCACTCGACTTATCTAATTAACACAGCTCGACTTTCTTTTTCTTTTAACTCGCATACTCCTCGTAAATTTTTCAAAATATAATTTCAAATGAAATTTCGAGCTTGTATAATCAAAATTTACATTTCAATAAGAATTCTAATAAGAGAGAGAGAGAGAGATAAAAAGAGAAGGAAGGAAAAAAAAGGATTAAAAACCAATTCGATACGTTGATTTTGTGTTTCACGACAAAGTTATGTTTTACGAACTTTGTAAAAATCAAAATAAAGAAAAAAAGAAAAAAAAAAGAAAAACGCTTCGAGCGAATTCGAATGCGAATAAAAAGTCTATCGTCGTATGGCGACGTAAGGGCGCATGTCCACGAAAGGACAGTAAGTATCAAGAGTCGATGAGGGACGCCTCGCTTCTCTAAGCCTGCCTTTCTCTTTAGCGTCGAGCAGTGGTTCAGTTTTCACGGCAACTTCATCCAGGAACCATACACAGAATGTCTTGAAGAAACGCGAGTTGAAACGTAACGTGCGTATAGTGACTCGTATATTTTCGTCTTCTCTCTTCTCTCTCTTTCTATCTTCTATATACATACATACATACATACATACATACATACATACATACATACATCATATATACATACATACACACGTATGTTCATCGTTCGTATGCGAAAAAGACGATAAAGAAAAAAAAGAAAAAGAAAATAAAGAAAAAACGAACATGTGACATGTGACTTTGAAATATTGCATCTTTTATGTGCATAGTGTCAACGCAAACTAGTTTTATTAAGTTCGTGAATTAAATTCGATCGTCAATAGTGCAATTCGATTCAATCGATTAAAGAAAATTTTCTCTGACAGCGAGGAAAAAAAGAAAGAGAAAGGAAAAAAAAGAGAAACAGATAGAGAAAAAGAGAAAGAGAGAGAGAGAAAGAAAGGCAATGGGCTTGGCAACGTCATGGTGAATTCATTCGAATTAGATCGATCGTTTACGCCTGACTTTTACAGAAACATACTCGTCGGGGTCGTTGCATTTGACAGATACTACACACGTGCTCTTGAGATAAGCGATCGTTCCACGTGCCTTTAGAGCGCTTCATCCGTTCAGTTCACCACGCTGTCTCAACGGTGACACCGATGCGTGGATGAAACATGTACTTACTTACTTTCTTACTTTATCTAGTTTCGTCTCTCAAATCTTTAACGATAATTTTTCCTCTAAATTTTGTCTTTCTTTAAATTCGAAGAAACGAAAAAAAAAAAGGTAAAGAAAACAGAAAACGAAAGGAAAAAAAGAATAAAAAAAAAACAAAACATTAATTTAATATTCGATGCATATTTAAAGAAGAAAGATATTTCTCTCCTTGTCACCTTGAAACCGATACTACGTCCGTTAGACAAAGTATTTTTATCGAGCGACCGGCAAGGATAACCGGTGAAATGAAAATATCCTTGGGAATGATTTTGTTAACTTCTTTGATGAAAAGAAAAGAACCCTAAAACGATCTTTCTTTCTTTCTTTCTTTCTTTCTTTCTTTCTTTCTTTCTTTCTTTCTTTCTTTCTTTCTTCCTTCCTTTCTCTTTCTTTTCCTTTCTATTCTTTTCTTTACTTCGAATATTTCTTCGACGATTATTTCACGGAAATATATCGTTTACGTAAGTACCTGCTCTTTCTTTTTTTTTCTCATCCAACATGACAACGATGACAAAAATAATAATATCGATGATTAGAAATCGTAGGAAAGTAGAACGTGGAATAAGATTTTTCTTCTTATAATCGTCTGTAGGTTTCTTGAACATCGAAAGTAGAAAGATGTGAATTCCCACGAACCATTGAGCTAACTTTGAATCGTCATTTACTCGATTTTATTCTCGAACGTTACTTTCTCACCGTTAAGATCGATTACGAACATATTTTCTCTCTGCTAATAGGTGTTTCGAGATATCTGAATTTGGTTCTGTTCAGGAGCTGCCACGGAACGCATTTATTTTCAGTAACAAGATCCGCATGAAAATTTACGAATCCCGTTTTCATTACGTCAATAACATCGATTAATACATTATTTCTTTCTTTTTTTTTTTTCTTCAATACTAGACACGAAGTTATCGCGGAACGGGTCCGATCCGGTCCATTGCTTGTTTTCAACGAAGACCAACCGAGGTCGATTCAAACAAGTGAAAGGATATCTGTTATTCCAACAGATGTTATTATAATATGTTTATCGTAAACTTGAATGGTAACGTAAAAATATAATTTGGTTCTGTACTTAACCCAAATTCTTGAAATTTTTATAATTTAATAATAAATTAATATCATTGGAAAGTAATAAAATCGATTTATTCGTTATAAAAAACATATCAAAGATATCTGAAAAATGTATATTTATTCTGTATATCAGCTAATTAGTTTTTATTATTCTACCCATCACGATGATTATAGTATCCGTAGCTACGTATACTACGTTGTGAGAGTTGCACTTACTAACCGTAAAACTAGATCACCGTGCCTTTCTTTTCGCCTTCTTACACGGTTATTTACTGAATGCACAATAAAGTATGTTGTTGGATTTACCAGGTCAGTGATTCCTTCGATTACTTTAATTATACGCTACTATTGTTATTCATCAAAACAACGCCGTGCCCTATCATTAGAATGATGTTATTCTGGTTCTAATGATTCAAATGTTTGACCGTTCGAACGAGCTTACATTTTCTTTTTTCAATGTTAACCATTTCAATTGGTTCGAAAGAACTCGTATTTCTTGATATTTTAATAAACATTCCTATAACCTTGAAGAGAAAAAAAAAAGAGAAAAGAAACAGGGCGATGAATTTAAAACGATCTTTGCCCGTTCATTGTAAAAGAAAAAAATATATTTTCTCTAATCATCATAAGCCCACGCACTTTTCTAATGTGGCATCTATCCTTATCTCGATCTCAAACGTATTTATGTATATATCTACATACGTACTACTTTGCTAACGGTTCATTTTCTATGGAAATTTACGCGCGGTTACGCACCTGGCTCATCTCGCTTAGTATTTACAGTTATATAGAAAGAAAAAGAAAGAGAACGCCGATGAAATAGTTTGATTTGACGCAAGCAACAACACTCGAAAGAATATTTCGTTTGAACCTTGACCGAAACTTGCTCGAACATTACGAGTTTTCATCTTTTCGCATCATGTCAAATATTTCATCCTCTCATCTCGTGCGAAAGATTTAAAATCTAATTGTAAGCACTTCTTCTTCTACCTTCTCACATTTAACAAAGTCCATTTTATCGCGATAAACATATCTTTTATTTTTCTTTTTTTTTTAATTTGTTTCTTCTTGCAAAGATTATGATCGATCTCTCACGCATCCCTTATAATTTCTGACATAAGAATCACAAGTATGATGAAGATAGATAATCTGAAAATAATCATCTATTTTCTATTGCACTCGAGGACGTTGATCTCTCGATCATTTTTCTATCTCTTTTTTTATTCTTTTATCTCTTTTTTTTCAATCCAAATGTCAGATAGTAATATATGTAGATCTATCCACCTACCTATACGAATTAATTAACTTCATAAGTTAAAAAGGACGAGCAAAAGTTACTTCTACGCCCACAATATTCTCATCTTTTATTAAAGAAAAATAAAGTGAATTAATATCGCTTAGAGACGTCTCCTTTTGGATGAGAAAAAAGAAAGAAAAAAAAAAAAAAAAAAAAAAAGAAAAGTGGAAAATAAAAGGACACTTCGAGGACATTTTTAGGCTATCATCGATAAATCATCGGTTAGTCACCTCTTGTTCGTGTGGGATGATAGTATGGAGAATCTGAATATATGATTTCTTTTGTGAGTCATGATGTAAGAATTAATTTTAAACGTTAAAAGTCCCTGAATAGAAAGCTTCAATCGCAGCCATTTATGTTTACGAGGACTTCTCTAAAAATATTTTCTATCGGCTTTCGTTTCAACGAGGTTAAAACTTTTAGAGCTTGACGAAATCACATGACGAACGGCAATTATTAATTAAAAGTTAAATATTCTTAATTATAATAATTATGATAATTTGTATAACGAAGATAAATCGTTATAGAAATGTTGCTGGTCCCTTTTGTACTGGGCTTGGCCCTGCCCATCATGGGCGAATATATTCCACCTGGGCCAAGATTTACGTGTCCTAAGATACCCACTGATATTTACCCTTGTACTTGCGTTCGTGGAAGCGACAGAGGACTATATATTCATTGCGAAAATACGAATTTAGCCAGCTTGAGCCTGGCTTTTGTTAAATTAGGGAACGAAGGTATGCCTATCGAAGAATTGATCCTGTATAAATGCAATATCGGTGAGAATTACTTTTATAATATTCAGGATCTTCTGATTCACATAAATGATTGTTATAATTGAATTCTTTTAATTTTAGGACGTTTCTATGGACCAGCTCTTTATCCATTAGACATTAGAGTCCTAAAATTTATTGATACGCCATTGAGATTAATCGAGGAACACAGTTTTCTCGGAGTGAACAGAACCCTTCAGGAACTTTATTTGATAAACAGTCATCTTGAAAAGTTTCCAAGGGAAGCACTACAAATTCTAGGAAATCTTAGTCTATTAAGTATCATTGGACATCGTATCGTTATTTTACCAGGGAACAGTTTCGCTGAGAGTGCCGCAGCCGCGAAATTAGAAAAATTAGAAATCAGTAACGGTAAGTAATATCGTGATTTGAACTTTAACGTTTAACGATCGTTCGATCTCTAATATCGATTATATTACAGGAATTATGTCCTCGTTACCAGTCGAAGCGTTGCAACCTTTAAAAAAAATGAAAACTCTCGATCTTCATGATAACAAAATCAAAGATTTAAAAAGAAATCAATTTAAGGGACTCAGGGATACCGAATTCCTTGATTTGTCGAACAATCTTATTGATAAGTTGGACGGCTCTCATCTTGCCGATCTTATCAAATTGGGATGGTGTAATTTTTCTCATAATGCGATCTCAGACTTAAAGAGGTATGTACGTCAAGTTTCAAAGATAAAATAAAACATAAAAATTTGTACTTTCCATCAGCCATCTTTCTTTTTCTTTTTTTCTTTTTTCTATTTTCGTTCTTTGCAGGGGAACTTTTGCAAGAAATTCCGTCTTGAAGGTTCTCAATTTGAGTCACAATAAGATTAGGAAACTTGACTCAAATACGTTTCGTGGCATGCGTTTCCTAAGACGTTTGTTTTTAAGCAACAATCAAATTAATGAAGTAGGCAGAGGTACTTTTGGCTCGATCACAAGAATCGGTACCATCGATTTATCACGGAATTTCATCAAGAAAATCGATTATCAAATGTTTCATCAGTTACAATTTGCTGAGGTTCGTATTTATACAAATACACACGATTATTAACATAAATATATATATTATATTTATGTAAGTTATTAATATATATATATATGTATATAATTATATATATAATTATATATATAATTATATACATATATACATATGTATGTATATATATATATACCGTTTCATGTGCGTGCGATAACATAGTAATGTATATGATTATGCAACGCGGCTTTGCTATCAAAACTCGTCGTAATACCACAGGTTTCTCTCATATATCGGAGCAACTAGTATATTGTCTCCACTTGCGTCTTCGACCACTTTCACTTTTTGATGTATACTAGAGATTGCTATCGGTTGCTATTTAATTATTATTGCACAAAAAACGCATATGAATGTGAGTCATACTTAAACGAATATCGTAATAAAGGAAACGCAAGAGAGCTCGACGGTATAAAATTATAGGATAAGTTTGTTTTCCCTTTTCCTTCTTTTTTTCCTTTCTTTTTTTTTTTTAATTCTTTTTCATTTTACAACATTTTTCATAGCTCATAGATGTCTCCGAGAATTTCGTGACAACCGTGGAGAAATTAGCATTCAAGGATCTTTTCCTGGCGAAAGTGAATCTATCGCACAATGAAATTGCTACAATAGAGCCTGAAGCATTTGAGAACTGCGCCAATATTACCTCGCTCGATCTTAGTCACAACAAACTTGAGAATATTTCGAAATATTCCTTCGACAGTTCAACGTACGCCACCGAACTGCAACTCAGCTACAATCTGTTCACTTCGTTGGGTCAGGTAAATAGAATTGCTTGATTTACGGGATAAACTGATTCCGAGAGAGAGAGAGAGAGAGAGAGAGAGAGAGAGAGAGAAGGAGAGAGGAAGAGGAAGAGGAAGAGATTAATCGACTGTCATGGGAAAAATAGATAAATATATCTATAATATGAAAATCCTACAACAAGTTAAATATGAGTTTTATTTTCAAAGAAACGTTCAAATTTTTCGAAATAGACTATTACGAAAACAACTAATATATTATAATAATGTTGAAAATCACATAATATGAATTATCGTAACATATGGAAATAAGAACTAACGTTATATATAAGATTATTTGACATATGGTGTTTCAGTACGATAGTACAGTCACCTTGCATATATACAATTCGTTAAAATTATTACGGTAAGAAAATGAACAGTAATAGGTAACACGCAAAATGATTGCAGGTACCATTGCACAACATGACTGGACTAAAAATACTCAATGCATCTCACAACTTGATACATTCGGTTCCACGTCAAACGTTTCCGAAGCTCTACGAACTCCATACGATTGATCTGTCTTACAATAATCTTTCGGACATACACAATGGCGTCTTTCAAACGCTCTTTAGTTTACGATTTTTAAATTTCTCTCATAATTCCTTGGAGAAGATAAAACCGTCGACATTCGGTCCATTGCCGACATTACTCGAATTAGATATGAGCTACAATCAACTCAACGACATAGCACGTGGTAGTCTAACCAGATTAGCCAGTTGCAGGTAGCTATCTCTACTTCTTTTTTTTTTTTTCTTTTTTATTCTATATTTAAAATTCATCCAACTTTTCACAGAGAATATTTTGCGAGGTTAATGCTTATGAATTTTTAGAAGCATAACCGTGAAGAACAATCGACTGAGCAAGATATTTCAATTGCCAAATCCGTTGGGTCACTTGGACTTTTCAGAAAATTTACTCGAAGAAATACCAACGTTGGAGGTATGGCCTACGATGAACGCTCTCCTTTCGTTGGATCTTTCGAGGAATCGACTAGGCGATAATCTTCGGCATGGGAGCTTCGAAAACCTGTTGACCTTGAGGACCTTGAACCTGCAAGCGAATAATATATCCATACCACCGTGGGAAGCCTTGAGTACTTTAAGCAGTTTGCAATATCTCTATTTACAGGTCAGTCGCGTTTGAACTTTTAAAATGATTTAAACATTTCTTAATAATAATAAAAGAATATACAATAATTACGATTGTTCGAATTTAATGAAATTTCGATAAATACAAATATTTTCTAAATCGTGACAAGTTAACAAGACATCTAAAAATCTGTCCTTTATATGTATATATGTATATATATATAGACAATATTTTTTAATAAATATAAATATTTTTTATAGGACAACCATTTGACACAACTTGGCAAAGCGGCATTTGGTCGTCTACCAATCGTATTCGAATTGAATCTCGCTAATAATCAGATTCACAATATAAATAATCGCGCTTTCGAAGGTCTTCTTCAATTATTGACTTTAAATTTGACAAACAATAATATTACTTACATACCAAACGGGGCATTCCAAGGTTTGGTTTCTTTAAGAACGCTCGATCTATCCTACAACAAATTAGAAAGATTGGATAATAAAACTCACGGATTGCTAGACGATTGCCTGTCATTAGAACGGCTCAATCTTAGTCATAATAAAATCTCTTTCATCACGAGAAAAATGTTACCCAATGATCCTTGGATTCCATACAAATTGAAAGAAGTGGATCTCTCGTACAACACAATGCCTGTAGTAACGTTTGAATTGACCATCGGTGGAAAAAAACTTCAATACTTAAATCTAAGTCATAACAATATCAATGAGATACGTCGTTGTAAGTAATCGTTTCAAGTGAATCAATTTAAAAGAAATATTAATTATTAAAATTATTTATTAATTGTTAAAACAAATATCAATTTAAAATAAGTATTCATATTTATACAACGTGAAATTTCATATTATTCGATTTTAGACGTAATCGGCAATCTCACAGCATTACACTCGTTGGATTTATCGTACAATGATATCAGTGATATCTCAGAACCAAACGTTTTTGAACCACCGAATAATTTAAGTTACTTATACCTAAGCCATAATCATCTGACGTATTTACCAATGTATAAAATTCTACCAATGCGAAACTTGATGCTTTTGGATTTAGAAATGAATAAAATCGATGTATTCGACGAGAATTTCATGAAGATTATTCAAAATGGCACGAGAATTCATTATTTCGGTAAATTTAATCTATATACACATAGTTTGTTATACACACATCTATTAATGCTCTTTTCAGAATACACAAATCTATAATATTGTTATTCATAATATTTATAGGAAATTTGTTGCATTGCGATTGTCACGTTCGACCTCTAAAAAGATGGTTGAACACATTCAGCAAAATGCCTATGGAATGGTCGAATGTTACATGCAAAAGTCCAAGTTATGTTTCTGAAAAGCTTCTTTCTGAAATCACGGAAGATCTGATGGGGTGTAATACAGAAGAGATATACGAGAACGAACAATTGGATATCACGCCTGACGTGAAGTATCGAAATATCGAGTAGTACGTAAAAAATTTTAGAAAACAATTATCCCAATTTCAAAATTACGATGATTAACTTTCTTTTAATTGGAACCGTAATATATATATATATATATATAAAAGAAAATAATAAATAATTACACAATAAATAAATGAAAAATAAATAATAAATGACAATAAAGAAAATAAATGATTTGTCACATTGATGTTTCAGTGACAAAGAGGATAAGAGTTGGAAGGCCACGTGGTACGTGACATCGCGAGAAGACATCGGTGATTTTTATGTAGTAGTACGAGAGTCGGGAAGTAGCAAGTCAACGATCGAGAAGGACCTCGTTTACAATGCCAGGTCTTATAAGATTCAGGATTTACCTGTATCGAGGAGCAAGTACGAGCTCTGCGTACTGGCTAGAGATTCCGAAGGAAACGTAAAACATTTCCGAGAATCGCAATGTCAGATTCTGAACGAACAAACTTACGGTAGAACGGCACATCTAAGAAGCAGTTTCTCTCTAATCGCGATCGTTCTCTTTCTTCGTATACTCCTTTGAAACTCGTTTGGAGATAAATTTTTTCGATATACAAATTTAAAGAAATTATTTGTGAAAAGGATATTACATCCTTACGTATTACATACGTAATGTTCTTGACAAACATTAGAGATTTAGTTACATTTGATATGTTTCTTGATCCATATAATTTAGAACGTAGTAATTGCGTAAGTTAAATTAAAAATACACACATACATATTCTCATACATATGTATCTTATTGATTATATGTGAATAGTTATCGTCGAAGGGTAGAATTGTACATATGAAGGATCGTGTACGAATCGAAGGACGTTGAACGTCGGCTATTTATTTTTGTAAAATATATAATTACAATTAAATAATTATACTATCTGGTACACTTGTTATTAGACACTAAGAGAACACCTTTAGTCGAAGTAGAAAAGAGAAGATAGAAGGATTCAAAGGTACCGCCTGAACGACTCAATAGTATCGAACGCTACAAATCTAACTTTCTCTCTCTCTCTCTCTCTCTCTCTCTCTCTCTCTCTCTCTCTCTCTCTCTCTTTCGTTATCGCTTCGTTCGCTCCTGTGGTAAAGAAAAAAAAAACAAGAGAGAAAAAGGAAATTACAAGAAGAGTTAGTAATTCATATATATGCTAGTAATGTGCTAGTAATGCATATATATGCACATTAAAACACTGCTATGCTTGGAAGACTGATGTCAATAATTTATAATTGTTAGGAATAAAGTAGAGGCTCAACGAATTAATGAACAATCGGTCTTAATAACTCGTGGTAAGAGAAGGAGGGAGAGAAGAGGACGGAGTTCACGATCAAATCCTACGAAACCTAATTCACGAACCATTTTCAATGATGGAGTCAAATAAGTTTAGTAATAAAAATACTAATAATAATAATAATAATAATAATAATAATAATAATAATAATAATAATAATAATAATAGTAATAATAATAATAATAATAATAATAATAATAATAATAATAATAAAAATAATAATAATACTGGTATTAATAATAATAATAATAATAATAATAATAATAATAATAATATAATAAGAACGAACGCAGAAACGAGATGAAAAAATTCTCAAGGAAGTAAGGACGCTTACGTTCGCTCGTTTCTATGTACTAAAAGATCATTTCATTCTTCTCCGAGTTCATAATTAGCATCCTGCTACTCGGTCGGGAGTTGCTCACGTGGAGTAAGAAGGGAAAACCCTTTAATGAGAAAGCGAGTCGGGAGTTCTATGAAACTAAACAAAGATTAAAATCGATGTAGAATACACATAGGTGTATATATATATATATATATATATATATATATATGTATATATATATAACACAGTATATATATATATATATATACATGCTTCAACGTACCATTGTCATTGTTCTCCATTATTTTTTTCCTCTCGATCACGCGTGCCTCGTTAACGTATAGAAATGAAAAATACACACGGAGTCTAACTTCTTTGGGGCATGTGCAACACAGACGCCGAAGATATTTTTTAAGTTTCAGCGAGACAATGGCTATCGAAGTTTTCTTTGAATTAACGGGAATGTAAATTATTCGTTTACAATATGTATACGATCGATACGTACTCTCTCAGGTAAAGAATAAATGAAAAAAAATATATAAGATCGATCGATTTTTCTAATCGATGTTTTCGTTGCTTCAATAATCGCTAAAGATAAATTTAATTTTTGCTTGAATTTAATGACAAATGATTTTTCCGAAATTTCTAAATTTTCAGGATAAAAATCTTTGAAAATGCAAATAATAGAAAATTCAGACGTTAGAAAATAATATTTTTTATTTGTTTTATCTCATTTTGTTTCATTAACCGCATTCATTTTAAATCGTTTTACATTGACGTAAAATGTCCTAGCGTACTTTTGGCCGATAATTTCTAACGAAATTTCAAAGATCTCACGATTTCATTAATCGTTTTCTTTCAACAGCATTTCAACATTTCTACGAAGGAACGATCCGATCGTAAGATCCGTGCAACCACTAGCGGTTACTCGTTACGAAACGCACGCTTGGACACTTTCACCTGGAACCCCGATAATAGAGTATATCGCGCGCTGTCAGAAACGAACGCACGAGTTTTACCGAGAGTGGACGAAGGGACACGAAGTCTAAGGAACTTTTTGTTGCGTTGAACGCAAAGGACAGACATCCGTTTCTCTCTGCCCCCTCTCATCAGTCGGGAATGAAGGAGAGAAGGATGGAAGGAGGAGATGAAGGAGGAGGTGAAGGGAAGGAGAACTCTCGTGAGTCCCCCCAAGGCAGCAGGTATGGTGCGAGTAAATTTACATTTCTTCTCCTCTCTCGGTTTCTTTTCTTTGTGAATTTCTTTTTTCTTTTTCTTTTTCTCTTTTTATCTTCTTTTTTTTTTCTTCGACGGAAATCGACGGCGAGTTTAAAATAGAAAATAATTTGAAAAGACGAATACTTGGATAGGTACGTTGAAACTTAAAGGAAAGAAAAAAAAACCAGAAAGAAAAGAAAAAAGAAAACTCCGACAACAGGTTCATCGCGTGCACCTTCCTAATTATTACATGGTGACACGCCAATTATCTTGGACAGGGATAAGCGCGTGCACTTCCTCGTATATACGCTATCCTTCGACTCGTGTCATACACTCTTGTTCTTAAGTAAACGTACGTGCCGCAAAGGAACCTCGCAGAGGCATACCTTTCCTCCTTCTTTTCTTTTTTTTTCTTCTTCTTTTTCTTCTTCTTTTTCTTCTTCTTTTTTTTCTTCGTTTTTCTTTCCTCCGACTCCATTCCGCGTGGGTAAGCCAATACACGATCGTTTTGCATACTCTTCTTCTTTGGGAAGTGACTCATGGTTCGAGTCCATGTAAGGTCCAGCAGCGCGACAACCGTGGACCAAACGCCCACGTGAAAATATTATGCGCGCGCATCTCGGTCTCGGTAAAAGAGAAAAAGCAGAAGAAAGAAGGACGTTTACTTTCGAATATTATTGCTTATTTCTTTTACTTCATCATTCCAATAATTTTTACAGCGTACAATTAGATAGAAAGTTTAAAAATCGTAGTCATATAAGTAACTATATATATATATATATATATATATATATATATATATATCTTTCTCGCGCGCGCGCACGCGCGAATCGTCGATTCATAAATCAATTAGACTCGAACGAGTTACACCTTCTTCGCGACGGTCCATAGCCGCTCGCATTCGCCTTCAGTATAATTAATAGATACCCGTCGTATACTACGGTTACGTGTGCGAGCATACCAAACATCTATCGACCAGTCCACCACTCGTTCTTTGCCAGCTTTTTCTTACTTATTGCGAACTTTTGTACATCGACCAAGAAAGAAGTCCCAAGCAACGAAGTCAAGATTTATTATAATGATTCGACGGTATATCGAAGTGATTTCTTAAATTAAATCAATAGAAAAAAGATTTCAGAGAAAAGTTTGTATTTCTGTCTTTTTATATTTGTCTGTTTGTCTGTCTATTTCTTTCTTTCTTCCTTTCTTTTTTTTCTATAAAAAAAAAAAGAACAAAATTGTTTACTAGAAAAAAAAAAATATAGAAAGAATTCTTTTAAACGATCGTTAACCGTTTCTTTCTATCAACGAATTAAATTCAAATGCTAAAAGACTAATGCCTACGCCACTGTTTGGGCCTACTCGCGGTTCGAACTATCCCGCCATTGCTCGGGCCCGTCAGTGTCTCTCGCGGCTTCGCACAGAGAACATCTCTTAGTTCGAGACGAGACTTATTCGTTTGTTCTTTTCTCTTGCGTTCCATCGTCGTTTCCCCACTACTACTTTCCTGTATGTTTATAACCTTACCTTGCCATCTCTTCTCTCTCTCTCTCTCTCTCTCTCTTTTTCTCTTTCTCTTTCTCTCTCTATCTCTTTCTCTCTTTCTCTTTTTCTCTTTTTTTCTTTTTTATTGCGTGCGTGCACGTACTTTCTCAGCGAGGACGCTCAGGAACGGATGAGAAAAGTTGTCTCGTCCTTGAAGAAAGCGGACAACCAACGTCTAGATGAGAGTACGTCGAGACTAGACGAAAACATCTTCTCTTCCTCCTCCTCCTCCTCCTTCTCCTCCTCTTCCTTTTCCTTTCCCCTTTTCCTTTCCTTCTCTTCTTCGATCCCTCTCACCCTTGTCATATATTTTCGTCTCCTCTCTTAAAACTTTAATATCCTTCCTGCGATAGTGACCATCACGAAAAGAGTGGACATGGCCGACCGTCTTTGGTATTTCCTTCTCGCCTGGATATTTATCGTCGCTGTTACTCGCGCCAACGGTGAGCAACGTACCATTTAAAAAAAGAAATAAGTAAAGAAAAAAAAATGAAAATAATTTAAGCTATACAGATCAAAAAGATAAAATAATATATATATATATATATATATATATATTATTAATAATATAATTTATAATAATTTATAATATATATACAGATATACATGTGTATATATATATATAGTATCGACTAGTCGATATAAATATATATATTCTTTTGTTCAAATTTCAAATATATTATCCCTTTGTTCTTGCGAGAATATATATAAAAAGGGGAGGGGAGGGAAGGAAAAAGAAATGAAAGAAAAACGAAGGAAGTCGAATAAGAATGATTTATCACTATGTTCCGCACTCTTACTCTCGTCGACTCATGTTCGTCGGTCACGTTTCTTTGGTAGAAATGTATGCTTTCACGAAAGAAACTCGTCAGTTTCGATTCTAATGCGAGGAGAAAGAAAAACGAATTCGAACTTTACGTTTGTATGTAGTTACCTAGTCTTCGAAAAGGTAACAAGATGATATTATATATAACGAGTGTCCTACATCGTCACTACTTCGGTACATTACGTCAGATTAGCAGCCATATGTAATATCAGTCAAGGCTGATCCTTTCTATACATTATCTACTTTCATTAAATTCTTTTACGATTTATATTGTGTTTTTCAATTAAATAATTTTTTTCTTTTTCTTCTTTTTTTTTCTTCCTTTACATGTTCGAAAGCTACATACAGATATTAATCGTTTCGATACACTTTGTCGTTCCATAAATAATAATATTAACGTTTAAGAAAAAGCATGTAGAATTCATCGTCATTCGTCTTTTCCGGAACGAAGAACGAATGCATCGTCAATTGCTATACACAGATAAATAAATGCACGGACGTATGTACGTAGACGCACATACCAAGTAATATATATGGTATAATTTATGTTTACGTCGAGCACACGCCGGTCACCCCCTTTTTCCTCGACGTGTGTGCACTGTGCGCACGAAGATATTCGCGCTCGCCTACGGAACAATGGATGCAACTTTATGTTATAACCGTTCGCTATGGGAGAGTAAGGGGAAGGTAAGGAGTAGGGAGAATGGGAGAAGGAGGACAAGGGATTGCCGGTATGCTATTAAAACTTATATACTCCATAACGTGAACGGTTTAATCATTTGTATGCGTAATCTTGTATTCTTCCTCATAGATCTATGAAATTCATTGCCTCCTTGTAAGAAACAACGTGCTCCAAATTACATTTACAAAATATACGTTCTCGATTCTCTTCTCAATCCCATTAATTGAGTTTAACGAGAGCGTTACGATGGTGCTGCACGCACATCGAGTGAATACAATGTGAATAGATAGCCTCTTTGTGAATAGAGAGAAAAAAGAGAAAAAGAGATAGATAGATATATATAGATATATATAGATATAGGAAGAGAAAGAGAAAGACTTATAGATTCACGTAGAGTTGCATTAGAAGCGTGAAAAACCAAGACGAACGTATCTATTATTATGTACGAAGGGATTCAAGTACGTTGATTCGTACTTGGTTAGGATAGGAATTATATGTCGATGAATCACGCGATGACGTAGTCCTCTCATGGCCGTCGACGCTTTCGAGCGTGCACGAAAGGATTATTTGCACAAATGTTATTCCCTCTACGCTTACGATAGAGGTGCATAGACGAGCGTGAAAAATAAAAATAAGAAAAATGAGAAAAGTAGGAAGAAGGAGTAAATCGAGCTCTATCTTCAACTCAAAGAGATATTACTTCCCCTTTGATGCCATATCGTTAATGGAATACGCTTGGTGAATCGATCCTAATCGATTTCCCTCGCATTCACGCTAATCTCATCTTTGTATACACACAGGATATTATGCTTAACTCGAATAATTCATGATTTATTTGTACCGGCATATCTACGTTCAAAGAGGAAAAGATAAAAAAAAAGTATCGATCTTTATACGTCGATATGATCGTATCTTCGAAATTGATTATTTCGTTTTTCATAATTTTTCAAAAAACATAAAATATAAGATTAAACATCGTAGTTCGGTATGGTAAAGGAGTGAAAGAGAAACGTGGATGGTGTGTTTATGTTCAAGGACACATTCGCTCGAGACAAGTCGAGTAATTACGACGAGATCGAAGTAAGTGGAATCCTAGTAAGAAAAGATCTTGCTAAATTGTCTTCGATTCTTCAAAACGGCTAATAATAGAGTTTGGAATAGTTAACCGAATGAAAAAGCAGTGGGAAAGAAAGGGAAGGTGAACAGGAAAGTAATCCTCCACGCTTGAAGTTACTCCATAGTTAAAGTTCGACGACGCATCCAGTCGTTTCACCCTCCGTTCCTCTTTCAGGTATTCACGGTACTCAAAGGATTTTAAATGGCCACTAACGACGACCATTCTCCTGACGTTGGATATGATTATTCTTGCCATTAATTATATATATATATATATATATATATATATATATATATATGCGTAAGCATAGTAAAAAATTCATACGGTATTCTCGTCGAAAAGTATCGAGTAATGAAATTCGAGTCGATCCATTCACTTTCGATGATACACCATTCGTGGATCCGGATGAAACGAATCCATTTCATTCTATATAAAATATCGATTTGTATGTCATCTTCATCTCGAAAGTGTTACACACATAGACACGCACATATATATGTATGTATATATGTTTATATTTCGACATAATTACATATATTCTAAATCTAATTTCGCTCTCATATATCATATATGCTTTTAAATATATCTATTTGTACATATGTATGTGTGTATGTATGTGTATATGTTAAATAAATTTAATCGATTGGAAATCATATACGGGTATTTATCATTTCTAAAAATAATAGTTCATCGTACTCTGACGTCTTACCGCAATCTTATTGAATCCCATCGCTTCATTGAATCATAAAGCTTTAGAAACATGCCAATTTCTTCCTTCCTCTATTCGTTTCGTCACGAAGCATGAATCGATTTGTACTTGGTAAAGAAAAAAAGAAAATACAGAAAAAGAAAGAAGGAGAACTTTACGACAAGAGTCAACATGTTATCGGCAAATTTTAACGGCACTTTTATTAGATTCAAGCAAAACTTTTGATCGAATGATAGTATCTATCATCAGGATATAACGTTTTTCCTGGACGATGTTGAAGATGGAGTAAAAAATTGAAAGGATATTGAACCGCACATAATATTTGATTACTGATTGCCAGTTACCGCAAGCACTCGTGCTTAAAAGATGGCATACGTCAACCATGATTTTCGATTCGTGGTTTTCGATACACTTTATAACTGAGGTATCTTTTCATTCCTAAGACAATAATGTAACGTTTCTTTCCTTTTTTTTTGTTTCCTTTGCGCGGTGAAACCAAATTTATACCAATTTAAACTCGTCCACGTTATCTTAACAACAATCTTGGTATTATTTTTCATAAAATAATTTGACAATTAAAAATGTACACGCCAAAAATCAGTTTGTAATATTGATAAAATAGAAAATAGTTCACTTTTGGATTATGATTCAGACTCAAGTCTATCACTTTCTATAAATGTGTATAAAAGTCAAGCAAGAATATAAAGTACGATTCATAATCGTGCGTACATACTCATATAATATATGTTCGTAGAAAAGTGAATCAAGTGTGGGCAGGCGTGTGGGCCTGGGATGCGAACGAGAGATCGTGCAACCAAGATCGGCAAGATCGAAAGTGCCTGCTAGAGAATGTACGTGGTAAAGGCCACCGTGGGAGATAACAACCACGATCGAGTCCGACTATACGTATACACATACACGTAGTAGGAACATCTCTAGTTGCGCGCACATGAAATATATGTAATTCAATTCGATTTTATTTAATTATTTTTAATCATCTTTTTTTTAATCAATTGTTATATCGAATGCGAGAAACAGCAGAATGAATTATGATCAGTTTGTGAAATTTTCTTTAAAGGCAACATAGTAATAATTATTCAAATTAATAACAATTGTTTTTTTATTTCTTTACGTCAATCAAATTTATGAAATTTTATAAAATAATCAGAAATATAGTGATAAGAAAGGAAATATTATTCTATCGAGAGATAGAGGAATCCTATACCGTAGGATGATTTGCACGTAATCATAGGAGAATAGACGTCAGTAGCGAAGAATAAAAGAAAAAGAAAGGTAAGGAAGATGTCGGGGCGTTACAGCACTGTTAAAACTCGAAAACGAGTGGGGACGAAGAAAGCAAAGAGTCTTTGGAATGGGAATCAGAAGTGGGAGTGAGAGTGGGAGTGAGGAATCGGTTGGGAGAGGCCATAGGAAAACCGGTTGCCAATCTGCACGGACATTGAACAGCGCGCACGCGTGAACCAGGAGAAGAAAGACAGCAATAGGGAGACTGGATAAAAGGCCAAACAAACGGGAAGTCTGATTTTCGATGGAAAGATCGAACGTTTGCCGAACGTAATCCAACAAAGAAAATAATATTGCTTTGGCGTATTAATAAACTTTTAATTAAATTTTCTTTGTCTCTAATTCTATGAGAAGATCTTTAATCGAGATTAGATAATTTGTAGTAAATAGGAAAGAAAAGATATTCCATAAATATGTACATATTGCAAAAGGGAAAAAAAAAAGAAAAAATATTATCGTCCCATAGAAGTCAAATGGTATTAACGATCGACGAACTTGATGATCGACCGTACGATGCCAAGAAAGAACGTCGCTATTCTTGAACGATCGAACAACTTGCGTACAGTTACATGAACGTGATCGAAGAGTGCAAAGAAAAAATATGAATGGTTCGTGAACCCTGACACGTTGCTTCTGCAACGTCTGGATCTTGTGAATGGCGACCCAGCCCACGAGCCTCACGATCGACAGTTCCTCGTTGGTTCTTTAACGAGTCTCTTATACCATTACGTGATCCAGCAAGTATTAGGTACACTGTTATTTGTATACGTTTCTTCGGAACACCGTGACGTGCGTTTAAAAATCAAAATAAATAAGGAATGTAGTTTTGAAAAATAATAACACAACGATAATGATAACGTCATTAAAATATTCCTTTTTCTCTGTCAAAGACAAGTTGATGTTTAAAAAAAAACAAAACAAAAAAATTCAAAACGATCGAAGAATTATTTTTACGGTCAGTAGTCGTTCAAAGATCCAACGTATTTCTCACTGACGTCGAACGTTTTCCTATATATGCGCAAAGTCCATCCAAATATGGCGCATACCGGTCGAACCACTCGTATGCACGCGTGTCACCAAACACATGCGTTATCGTCGATGCGTGCACAAGTGAAGAACACACAAAGAGAGCCCCAATGACAATTCCTTGTACGCTGGACCGACTCAAACAATTCTTTTTCTTTTTTTTTTCCCTTTTCCCTTTTCCCTATCCTGTTTTCTAATCTTTCCTTATATCTCAGTTTCTTATAAAAATATAAATAGAAAATATTCAAGTATAAAAGTTAAAAAAATTTCTCACATTATTTTGAAGAACTTTATCCAACAGATATCATAACTTAAAATATGTACCCCCGTAATTAACCGTCTAATCATCACCGTGAGACGCAGAAGTTCTTCGAAGGAATTAGCAACGGTTAGTTCGATAATAGGTAGTATGCAGTACGTAGTTCGAGCACACCAATCATTCCCGATTCATTATGAAAGCTCATAAGGCGCGTGAGAAAGCATATGATCGTTCTTTTCCTTGAAAAATAATTGTCCCTCTGCAATCCATCTATTGGCTGAGTTAGTCATTGCTCGACTTTTACGATGGACTCTTTCGAGTGAGCCCCTCGATTTGCCACTGTGGCAATTCCACACGACGATAAATTATGAGCCACAATTATCGGCCATAAAAATATTTGTCGACGAGAAGGAGAAAAAGGAGGAGGAAGAGGAGAAGCAAAAGGAGGACGACGAGAAAGAGGAAAGTACATTTCGAGGAATCATTTCGTTGAATGTTTTTTCGTAGAAAATACAAATATTACTCACGCTGAGAAGTATTTAACGTAGATAGGTACATGTAAAGTATTATACATACATACGTAAAACATGTATCTATAGTATCTGCATACGTACATATATATATCTATATATA